GCAGGGGAGATGCTATAAGGGACCAGATGTGGTTGGACATCTCATCTAGAAGCCTTGTGTGAGTCTCCAGGGGACCAAAGGCAGCTTTGCCAAATCCGTGAAAACTGCACTGCCACACAGCTGCCTGTGGACCAGTGCGTGCCTTGCACCGACTGCCAGAACCCATACTGATGAAGAACTCACAGGACCTCTGGCCCAGCTGGAGGGGCAGAGTACCAGGAACCCAGCAAGGGCCTCTGTGAGAACCCTACCCAAGGAGTCTGCCTAGCCCAAGCAGAAAGCACAATCCCAGCCCCTCATCAGCAGCCTTGGCATTGTGGCCCTGGGAACACCTTCCACGGAAACTTTCACGGCCCACTGTCCCACTGTCCCTTCTCCCCAGCTGGCCATAGTAGAGCTCAAGAGCCTGTAGTGGTGGTGGGCAGAGCCCATTCAGAAGACTGGAGAGGCAGCCCTGCCACCCAACCCCCTTCCTGCATGCAGGCTCCCACCACTGTTAGAAACTGGGACCACCCTGCCCTGCAAGTGCTGCCCTGGGCATCAGGTGCCTCCTCTACCCCATAACCAGATGGCCTGTGGATTTCAAAGTCACCCAGGCCCTTCCTATCTACCCTCCAGAGCCCTGCAGCAGAGGCATGGCACCCGCCCCCACCCAGCAGCTGACTCTGAGCTTGCCCTTATCTCTAGCCTGTGTCCTGCCCACCTGTTGCTCCTCAGCCCTCTTGGCGGGTAAGCCCAACACAGCCCGGGAGGGTGGTCTAACAAGCCCTGTGGGACCCTCTGCTCTTCCCTGGGCTTTCAGGCACAGCTTGGCAGGTCTCAGGACTCAAGACCTGGGCACAGGCCTGAACCAAAGGCAAGCAACTTGCAGGGAGCCCCCACTCCCCATGTAAGGCCAGGGCCCACAGAAAGTGGGGTCCTAGCAGCCTGGGACACAGGGCCTGGGCATGAACTGCTGCTGGAAGGCGAATGGCAGAGCCGCCACCGCTTCAGCAAGAAGAGTCCTGAACCACACAAACTCCAGTCCAGCCAGGGAAGGAGGTCCCAGCCAGGCTTTTGGCAGGGAAGGGACAGCTTGTTTAAGGCAGAAAGAATCTCCAGTCTGCAGCTTCAGACCCTGTCAGCCAGAGAGAGAGGAGCTGTCCCCAGAAGGGAAGCACTCGCCCCCAGGCCCAGCAGCAGCAGCAGCCTACATATACCCTGGCCAGCAGCCCCAGCCCACTCCTCATGGCCTCTGCTGCCCTCCCACCTTCCGCTCTTGGTCTGCTCTACACCTGCTGCTTCTGACGTGCCCCACGCCATTCCCACTCACCTGCGGCCTCTCTGCCCTCCTGCCTGAGCATGGGCACAGGTGGGCTTGGGTAACCCACTCCCTCCTCTTAGATGCAGTGGCCTCACCTCCCAAACCCTGCTGCTGCCACCCACCTTGTATTAACTCATTTTGTAAGAGAGTGACTTGTTGGTTTAATAAATCTCTAGTAATTGTAATAATTTATTGGCTACCATAATGTGTTTATTAGTCACCTACTATTAATAAAAAGTACCAGCCGTTTCTAGCGTGAGTGTGATGTGTTGTGTCAGTGCCAAAGGAGACTGCGCCATGGGGCATGCTCATGACCTGCACTCATGGGCAGCCTGGAGGATGAGCACCATCTTGCAGGCAAAGCCGCCATCCTAGCTCTCAGGCTTGGAGAGGCAGGAGGCAGATCTGTCCCCCAGCACAATTGATGCTGGCCTTGACGTACTCCGGGCAATGCACTGGCACCACCATCCCAGCAGCCTGAGCAGATGGCAGATGGGGGAGACAATCCAGGGGGGTTCCCTGTGGCTCTGTGGGAAGGCAACAGTGACAGAGTGACTGGCTGTAGGCTGGCTGTGACCCCCGCCTTCTTTTCAATGCTAACTCCGCCGTCTTGGATGTTCTTTGCTGCCTGTTTCCTCCTGGGGGGCTTGGTTGGGGGACAGCTGTAGTCTCAAATCAGGCAGTGAGTCCCGATCTGTGCAGTGTGCTAGGAGGCAAACCTCGGGGGCATGGAAGAGGTCTGGGGGCCTGGGCTCACGGTCCCCACCCCACATACACACATTTCACAGCAGCTCCTTCCTCGCATCCCTCCCTAAGTCTCCAGGGATCACTGCCCGCCCCGAGGCCCTAGCCCTGGAAAAGCAGCTCTGACAATTTGTCCTCTGCTCCCCTGGCCTCCTTCTGTGCTCTGTGCTGTGCCCGTGACCACAGACCCATTGATGTGTGTGCCTAGACAGTGAGCTCACGGAGAGCAGAAGCCAGGCTCTCCTGCGATTCTTGCAGGAAACAGGAGTGTGTGTGAGGAGGGTTCACCCATGATGTGCCCAGGCTACATGTTCTACCACATGTGCCAGTGCCTGCACCATAGCAGTGCTGGACCCAGGTGCAGTGAAACCTGGAGCTTTCTGGCTGGACATTCTAGCTCCTTGTTGAGCAGCTGTGGGATGCAGTGCCTCTGTTGTACCAGGAGCCTTTTCCCCATTGACTCCTTGCGGTCTCAGTGTCTCACTGCCAGCCAGCCCCCACTAGGTAGTCCAGTGAGCCCATGCCCCCCCAAGCCTGTTCTTGTGCGTCTCTGACAGTGTGGCCTAGGACAGACAGTTCTTGGGTGGGAGATTGCAAAGGGCCAGGAAGAGTTTCTGAGGGCTTGAGAAGGAAGTCTGCTGGTTGAGGGCAGTAGTTCCAGGAAGGAGATGATGTGAGTTTGCTAAAGTCATTGGATGGAATTGAAGGCCACCATTGGCCATGGATGGCAGGGGTACAGCAGGACCATTCCCGTGGTCTGCATTCCCTTCACCGTCCCTTCTACCAGCTTCCTGCAGCTAATAAGCAGGAGGGGCCAGGGCCCAGAATAGAGGATGCACAAAAATCCAAAACAGACCAAAAAAGGGAAGTAAACACACAAATTATCCCACAAACAAAGGAAGTAATAGAGACCAGAGTACCAGGAATCAAAATCAAAAGAATGCATCTCCGATATGGGATAAAAGTAGACAAAAAAGTATTAGACCTTTTACCATCGCCTGTACCAGTAGTATCACGATCCATGTAAAGAGCAGGAAATTGGAGTCATTTCTTTTGCATCTCTAATCTTAATTGATTCTTCTCTCATGCTGTTCTTTACTGGTATGGCTAGATGTTCGTTTTGCTTGTCTTAAAAAATGGCCCTTGTGTGTTGCAAGTAGTAGTTTTTTAACTTCAATTCCATTTATTTTTGTGGTAATTGCTATCATTTCATGCTTCCTGCTCATTTCCTTTTTAATAAGTCCTTGAGAGGCATTATTAGATCATCTATTTGAGACATCTCAAATGTTTGTAAGTACCTGATGTTATAAGTATCCGTTTCAATACTGTTTGGCTACATCTCATGAGTTTTGATATTTTGTTTTTGTTGTCTTCTTCAGTGCCACGTGGGTCATGCAGTAGCATCATTTTCTTCAGGAAGGTTTTTTATTTTCTTTTTCATCACTTTAGTGACACGTTGTTCATTCTGTAACATGTCATTTAACTTGATGTTGCTGTAAATTTACTATTCTTCCTATTGTGGGTTTTGTTTTCTGGCTTTTTACTTAAGGGATGTTTAGTAAAAGTGTAACAGAGACTGTCATGTCCAGAGGTGAGGATACAATGCAATGTGCATCTCCACGCCTGAATCAAGGATGGACTCCTGTAACAATGAGATACTAGACTCTGTCATTATCCATACCTGTAATGTCAGGATACCGTTAACTAGCGGAACGATGGACTTACGACTGTTCATAAAGGACTACACTTTGTAATAATAAAAGGGCAACCAGGGGGGGAGGGTGGGAGGGTGGGCAGAGGGAAATCCCAGAGCCTAACAAACTGCATCATAAAATAAAAATAGAAGCCACACAGCACCTTCAGCCATCCCTGGCACCTGATTGGGGTTTTTTGAAAGGCCACAGGTTGCTGACATGGCCTGCAGAAACCTATTGCCTTTGTTCTAGAGCTGGCCCAGAGCCAGGCACAAGTTTCTGCATCTTGGGGTCCTTTTGGGATCACTTCAGTGTTCTTCAAAAGACAGTGACACAGAGAGGTAGAGAACTGGGCTCAGCGCTGGCCCAGAGCTATCTCAGTAGCCACTGGTGGTCACCTTACCATCTTCCTTTGGACAGAAGGAAAGGCTGTAGCACTCATGGCAACATTTCCCCTGGCTCCTGCTAGCTGAGCAAGATGAGTTTATCTCCCAGGAAGTGAGTCCCAAGAGCACACACACTGACGCTTCTCTTCCCTATTTACTCGTTTCTGTCTGCTTCCACTGAGTTACCACCAGGCTGGGGATTCAGACAAGTTCCCAAGGCTTGGGCAGGGCTCTTAGGGAAAATAAGTGGCCACTACTTCTCTCACTTGCTCTGGCAGCTAGTTCCCAGAGGCGACCACCCCTCTGCATAGCCAGGAATAGGTGACAAGTTAATGCGTTGCCTCCTATCCTCTCCCCCGAGAGTAGCACAGATCAGTCAGGACCTGGTGTGGCTTCCCTCAGACCACTCCCAGATGAAGCTCCCCACTCCGCACCTTGGGCCCAGGTGACAGGAAGACCCCAAACCCAGCTCAGCTTTGCAGCTCCAGCACCACCACTACCATGCATGGAGGCACATGTACACAAACGCGTGCGTGCACACCTCACACACAGGAGGAGCCCTCTCACGGCCAGTTATTCTGCCCCAGGGGGCCAGGCTCTGTTCCCTGCTTGGTCTCAGCCATGGACCCTGAGGTGTTCTGAGATGCTATGTGGCAGCTCTCCCTGACCCCCACCCGCCGTGCTCAGCCATCAGCCTCTGGAGGAGCCTGGGGCTGGGGCCCAGGAGCCACCCCTGCAGGAGCTGCTGACTGCTGAATAGCCTGGTCCTTGCTGTCTCACACCTAACTCTCTCTTTCTCTTTCCCGGTCTCTGTGTCTCTCCCCTGACCTACTGTCTGTCTTGCTCTCCCTCCCTCCGTGCCTGGGGCTACAGAACCGCATGCACGAGTCTCTTATGCTCTTCGACTCCATCTGCAACAACAAGTTCTTCATCGATACCTCCATCATTCTCTTCCTCAACAAGAAAGATCTCTTTGGAGAGAAGATTAAGAAGTCACCTTTGACCATCTGCTTTCCTGAGTACACAGGTGGGTGTCACGGTAGCCCGATGCTGCAGGAGGCCCCACCCCTGACAGGGACCATGGTCTCCTCCAGAGGGCGCAAACAGGAACCCCATGGCCTGTGGGCTCAGGGACCTGGCTGCTCATCCGCCACTGCCTGGGCCAACACAGGAGCCCTTCCTGGGAGCCAGCCCTTAGCATGGTGGGCAGGAGCGCCCCACCAGAGCCATTGACCTCAGAGTGGTGAGGGCAGGGATCATGGGCAGGACAGGATCACAGGAGTCCCCTTCCTTTTTCTTCAAACAGCGCCCTGACCCAGCAGGGAGCCTCCCCTCACCCCTCCCACAGCTGCTGCTGAAACGCACTTTGCGTGCAATTAGAAATGTGGCGACAAGGCCCACAAGTGGGGCCTGGGCTGCATTTGAGCCTGCACCTGCTTGCTCTACCACTTTGCTTGCCTCTGTGTGCAGACAGCTCAGGCCTGGCCCAGCAGCCTATTCCTGCCCGTAACCTATACCAGCACCACCATTCTGCCTGTTCCTCCCTCCACCAGTCCCATCCTGCATGCCCTCTCTCTGCATGCCCCTTGGCTGTTTCCCCAGATCAAACCACTCCTATCTACTGCAAGCCTCTTCTATCCTCACCTCCCTCCCTTCTGTCTTTGTTGGGGGCTCTTCTCTGATCCAGCCAGGAGGGAAGGTGGCCACTGTGTGACAAGCTGTGGAAGGCCACAGCCCTATTCCTCTGGGGCCTTGAGAGCTCTTGGGAGCACCTGGGACAGGGGTCCCTTTGTGTGCTGAGAAGAGGGCCAGCACCTTGCAGTGGAGGGGTGAGTCCTGCACTGCCTACAGGTGAAGGCACAGGTGGGTTCATCCCGGAGCACATCACTGACAGCCCTGGAGTAGCACAATGGCACAGCGTCAGGTCCCAGGGCCACACATGTTCCCAGGGCCAACCAGAAGGCAACCAAAGTGCAGAACAGGTGGCCACAGGCCCCCCTACCCTTCTCTGCTGCTGGGAAGAGTCACGTGAAGAAACTCCTTCACTGGCTTAGCTCCAAGCCAGACTCTGTCCTGCTGCATCGTGCTGCCCATGTCCCGGTGCAGAGAGAATGTGGGGCCTCAACCCATCTGGTGATTCAACAGCAGGAGCCAGGTCCTCAGTAGGCACTACAACAGCCTCTGGAGCCAGACCTCCAGCAGCTTGGGCAAGAAGCCTTGTTTCTGGAGAGGTGGGTGCTCAGTCCCTGTCATTTGTGTTCATCAGAGAGTAGAGACTTCAGAAGGGGGACTGACCATGGAGCAGGTACAGAGGAGCACAGGTGGACAGCACAGGCCCACTGACCTATCCCATGGCTGAGGAAGGCCCTAGCTGTGGGCAGTGCCCAGCTGCAACCCATGCCCACTGACCATTCCCAGTCCCAGCAGGGCCCTCCCAATCCCCACCCCCAAGCACTGTGGTGACAGGAAGGGGCCAAGCAACCTCGCTCATGGGGGCCCACCCCCAGGGTCCTGCCTCAGCAGTGTAGCCCTGAACTTGAGTTGGGATGTGACCCGAGGAGGTGCCCTCTTCATGCTGCACAGAGTGGGCCTTAGACTCCCAGGGACAGTCTGTCTGAATCAGGCCATCTCAGCTCCCTGGGGCCTTTAGAGGGTCCGGGTTAACATAAATTGTATGTAGTCACCCTTGTAGTGGTCCATCGGGTGCAGGCCTGTGGAGATCGCAGAGCAAGTAGAAGGGGAGGGACTGAGTAAGGGAGCATGTGTGTCGCCACGGGGCTGGGCTGGGCTGGGGAAGGACCCTGCAGGCACGTTGTACCATGTTGTCTTCTATTTCAGCTCTCTGGACAGGAAGCTCCTGGATAGGATCTGCCTCAACCACTGTCCCATCTCTGACAGCCTAGCCAATGGCCTGTCCTCCCCTCCCCCAAGGAATGCCACACCCCTCTCCTTAGCCCTCACACTGGCTCCTCATTGGCCTGGAGGCCAGTACCTCAGTCGCCCTATCTGGAGAGGAAAGGGGCTTCATGGTGCAGGCGCGTTCCAGCAGCCCAAACCGGGACCTTTCATGGGGCCACATGAGCAGAGGAAGGGATGGCCCAACACATCAAGAGTCACATCATCTCAGGTTCTGGCAGTGCAGAGGAAATGGGGTGCCTTCCAGGTGTTGGGCCATCCTGCACTTCGGTGTGTGGGGGTTATAGCTGATGGCAGCACTGCCCTGACATCTGTCCCACCCAACCGCAGCCAGAATCAGGGGAGACTGCGAGCCTCAAGGAACTGGCAGGGGCCATGGGAGGCCTGGTTGGTGTCACACACACTGATAGCCCCATCAACATTCCACATCCTGGCCCTTCACCCAAATAGAAAGGCCCCTGACCTCACCAAGTGACCTCTGGCTGAGGGAACAGGTGCTCACTGGGCCCTGGGACACCTGACAGGGTTGCCACCAGCCAGAATCCCCATGAGGTCTTTGTTTCTTAGAACCAGCAGGATCAGTTTAGACCACAGGGAGGTGCCTCGGCCTGCTCATCCAGAAACCAGGGGCCAAGTCTGGCTGGAGCCTTCCCTAGGCTCTTGGGAAAGTGCAATGGAAAAGCAGAGGGAAAGAAAAATCAAAGCTCAGACAAATGGCTAAGACTTCTACAATTCTTTTTTTGTTTGCTTATTTGAAAGCTAGAGTGACAGAAAGATCTTTGATTTGCTGGTTCACACCCAGATAGCCGCAACAGCCAGGGGCACCACTTGGGGCTCCCATGTGGGTGCAGGGGCCTAGGCCATTAGTAATGAGCTGGATCTGAAGTGGGAGCAGCCTGAACACATACTTGCACCCATATAAGAAGCCAGCATCACAGGTGGAGGCCTAACATGCTATACCACAACACGCCCCCCCCTTTTCCACTTAAAATGTGGCTCCGCCCTGGAGAAGGAATGTCCAGCAATTCACGCCTTCCTCCTGACTGTTCCCTACACTGTCCACCACCTACTTGTCAGCCCTGGGTCCTCAGCCCCAGGTGCCTGCAGCGCTCACAGGACGTGTCCCACTCCTCTGTCTCGTTGCAGGCCCCAATACCTATGAAGATGCAGCTGCCTACATCCAAGCACAATTTGAAAGCAAAAACCGCTCACCCAACAAGGAAATCTACTGTCACATGACTTGTGCCACAGACACGAATAACATCCAGGTTGTATTCGACGCCGTCACCGACATCATCATTGCCAACAACCTCCGGGGCTGCGGCTTGTACTGACCTCTTGTCCTGTATAGCAACCTATTTGGTAATGATCCCAGCAATCACAGAACCGCTTGCGTGCACACACACACGCCCCCCCACTCACAGATGCAAGTTGGTTAATAAGCATTGCAGAGGCGTAACCACACACCCACACACTCATTCACACAATCCCTGTTAAACAGCTTCTCAATTTGTACTAGAAAGAACGCGGACAGGACTGACCACCCTCCCGCAGCACCCGGAGCTTCTCCCTGGGACACCCACTCCCTCACCGTGATGGGGCCTAGACTAGGAGGCCGTCCTTGAGACAGACATGCTCCGGGGTCTAGCCCCTAGCACCCCTTCCAGGGAGCAGGGCGAGGACAGGGACAGGCTGGCCTTGGCTGCCTGGCTCTTGGTGCACTCCCAGTTCTGTGTCGCTCCCATGCATACTCCACAACCCCTTTCAGAAATGGCCGATGTCCTCAGCCCCTGTGCCCTGTGTCCCCAAGCAGCAGAAAGGTTCCAGGACACACTCCCTCTCTCTTTCTCTTGGGGAGTGGCGCTGGTTGATGATCTAGATGATTTAGAAGAAGCCTGTGCTGCAATCCACCCACTGTCTCCTGAGTTTTCTTTATTCTCGTGATGGAGGCCAGACCGGACAACAGGGAGGCGTGGGTTTTCCCCTCCTGAGGTGGCAGGGGGAGGCAGCGCCACCCTCCCAGGGCATGTGGGCAGGAGGGAAGGGCCAGCCCCAGGATCCCAGAGCTGGGGCACCCCAAGGGGCCTGGGCACGGGTGCTGCCCTGTGCTCACCCTGCCCTCGCTCAGCCACAGGGAGAGTGCGGTTCGGTGTTTTGGTTGGTTGGTCGGTTTGCACACGGACAACGGTCAGACGGCCCCCTTGTCTCTCTCTCTGCAGACTGCTTCCCGGACTCTGTGCTGTTGACGTTGATCTCCTGGTAGCATGACCTTTTGGCCTTTGTAAGACACACAGCCTTTCTGTATCAAGCCCCCCGTCTCACCCCGACCCCAGAGTGACTGACGGCTGTGTATTTCTGTAGAATGCTGTAGAATCTGGTTTTAGTTGAGTCTTTACATTTAGAATTTGAAAGGAAAAACAAACAAAAGTAACACTTATCATGTGCTTTGTAGCATAAAAAAAAGGAAAATATTACCATTTCATGCATATTTCCTTTTTTTCCTTTTGAAATCCACATGCGCATCTGCACCCACACCTGTCCCTTCCCGCGTCAAGGCAGGGCCCACAGTGCACCTGCAGAGTGGTCCCTGGGGCCGGCCAGGTTCAGGCCACAGGCCTCGTCGCTGCCTGGCAGGAATCCGGCTTGGCTGGCGGCTGGCGGCTCCAACCCCACGCTTCCTGCAGGTTTGTAGAGAAAAAGCACAGCTCTCACTGGCCAGTAGCTGCCAAAAAAAAAAAATCTCACGTGAAGGGCAGCCCTCCACCCCAGCCTTCCCATGCCCCCTCTACAAACGCCCTTGGCGACTTTGTTCCCGTGTTTCTGTCCTGCTGAGCACCATGCCCCACCTGTGCCGCGGTCCGGTTTTCCTTTGCCGCTTCAGACTTTGCCCCCCCCCAGTCACAGCCCTCCCCCACAACTCTTCCCCGCACCCTCCCCCCACGAGCTTCTCCTTCCTTTCAGTGACCTGCGTTTGCTCTTTCTCATGTGGGGATGTTTGTGTTGCAGTTAAAAAGAACAAGAAGATAATTTTTAAATATCACCAAATGGGGGAAAAATTAAAAAAAAAAAAAGATGGAATGTAGTGTTTACATTAAAGCCACCATTTTCATGAGCAGTCCCTATGTCATTTCTACTGACTCGGACCCAGCCCGCATACCTGTCCATGGGTTCACTTTTCAGACTTCATATTTGCTGAAGACCAGTCACAGCCATTTCAAATAAAGAGGAGGCAAGAAGATACAATACACACACACACACACACACACAATTAAAAATACAGGAAAAAAAAAACTTGAAAAAAAGAAAAAAAAAAAGAGAAAAAACAGCCCACGGGTCTTTCTAAGCCTTTCTATTCCCAATCGGTGAGGTTTCTGTGCTATCTTCCACACTGCCAGTCTACTTCTCTGACAATGGAAATCCCTGTGTCGCTCAATAAAGAGAATGTTTGTCTGTAAGCCTCCGTCTCCCCTCTGCCTTCACAGCCTGGTCTCTGGGTGGCAGCACCCACAGGAGGCGGGAGGGGTGTGCACCTGCTGAGAGCTGCGAATCCTCCCGCTGCCTGCTGCTCAGGGCCAGGCAGAAGGGGACGGGGGAGGGCAGGGAAGGGCAGGACAGGGCTAGAGTCCTTGTCTGCTGCCAGTGGGCTTCTTCCAACTCCTCCTCACCCTTGGCTGATCTGGTTTGAGGTTTGGGGAGCTGGGAGTGGGGGGATAGCCTAACCCCAATCTGCTAGTATAGAATGCCACTGCTACCAGAACCAGGAGCTCCAGCGTTGAAGATGGGTGATCCCCACAGTGGGTGTTCTCTGCCTGAGCCCTTGGGCATCCGGGGGTGGGGTCAGAGGCACTCCTTGGTCAGTGCTGCACTAGGAAAGCAAAGCTTTAGAAACGGGACCTGGGCAAGCAAGGTGTCAGGAGTAAGTACTCCAGGGGATGAAGCAGACACCATTCTGGTTTTCACTGCTGAAGGCCAAGTTCCAGCAGCTTTTTGAGTGTGGAGCACAGGGGTCTGAAGGGCACCAGCTCTCCAGGCCACGCCTCTCCCCATGCCACTCCCACCAGCGGCCTCATTCCGGGCAGAAGGAGGCAAACCTGCACTACAGCTGTCACCTGACTTCCAACACTGGTGCTGGAGGACAGAGCCCAAAGAGGAAGACCAGGAACCTTGTCTCTGGATATACACAGCCCTTCCAAATTCCCTGCAAAGGAGCCAAACTGGGCTCTCACCAACCCTCTGGTGAGTTTTGTAGATAAAACCAACATGCTGCTTTGCCGCCTTATCTTTCTTCAACCATGAAGGGGAAAGGCCAAATGAGAACAAGCAGAGTGGGGCACAGTGCTCCAGACCCCAACATGAGCCAGCTCTCCCCACCTCCGGAGTGATAACGACTCCATTTCACATACACACTCTGGGACTCCTCTCCCACAGCAGCCCCAGTGGGAAACCGAGAGGGATGCAGCACTCCACCCATACAAACCAGCACCCATAAGAGCCTCAAAATTCTTAGAAACAGAACTACAACCCACACTACAAGGACACACACAAAGGGAGTACAAGGGCAGGGAACCCACCCCCTCCACCAACTGCCTCTGCCCTCAGCCCATGCCAGCTGCATCTCAGTGCTGCAAGCAGGAGCCTGGGAGACTTCAGGGCAGACTCCCTGGTCACTGTAAGCCCCATAAAACATCCTTCCCCCACCCCAGCACTGCCACGGCGTGGTGCTTCATGGTTCCCACACCCTCTAACAGCTTCCCTTCTACAACTTCATCAGCGGCAGAATGTGCGATTAGTGGCGTCCATCCCTAACGGGTGTGCCACACACAGAACAACAGAATCCGAGAAAGCAAAGTGGTCACTTCTCCCCACTTACCTTTTGAAAGATACTTTAAAAATTGAAATACTAGCATGAGGGGAAGAAAAACCCAGCTCTGCTTTCCTCTAATCAGATACCAGGAAAATCCAACCCCCCAACTCCAAAGACCCCTAGCCAAAGTGGTCCTTACAAAATCAGATTCAGTGTTGACCACCGTGAAAGCAGCTACCTCTCTCCCAGCCACACACAACACACCAGAAGAGTTTGCCTTTTATTATTATTATTCTTTTACAATGAAAACAAACAGCTATGCTCTCAGCAAAAAAAAAAATCTTAAAAATCAAAGAGATATACTAACAGCATTTCAAGGTAAGGCTTTTGAAAGATTTATTGAAATAAATTACGCCTGCCTAAATATTTGTCTACCATCCTTTTCTCAATTGTCAACATTCTAAAAACTTTGTTATGTAAAATACATTTAACTTTGCCAATCGTTTTAGATAATACTGGATTCTTCCCATAAGGACTACCATAGAACTATGCTTTCAAACATTAAAAAATCCAATGGGACATAAAACTGAACTATGTAACCTATGATTGTGTGTTTCAAATCCGAGAACTGCCATGAGGAAATTAAAGATTCAAGACCCGGGTCTGCTCCAAGGTGTGTGGATTCAACTTTTCACCTTTCTAGGTCTCACTAAACAACTGGAAAGAAGTTACTAGAATCAAGGGCTCTGGAGAAGAAAGGAATCCTTAGTTCTTCAGGAAAGCCCTCCTAAATGCACCCCCATAGCCAGGCCCATGCCTTCTCCAAACACCAAACTCATAGGCTTTGGCATTGCCCAGTGTGCTTGATCGAAGCTTGCTGTGTCCCCCTGTCCCATGTTCAGAGTGACACGGGATGCGGAGGGCAGAGGGACACAGGTCCACTTAGGACTTGCGGGAGCACCAGAGTTAACGGAAATAAAGCCAGCCGGGAACCGGGGCTCAGCAAGTCCCGATGTGGTGGGACAGAAGAAAGTCACCTTCTCACACTCTGGAGACCAGGGCCTGCCCCTCCTCCGCTCCAGGCAGCCAACCCGGGAGTTTCCCAAAATGACCTGCGAGCTCCAGGGGCCAGGAGCCCAGGGCCAGGCCTCCTCACTGTGACAGCTGCTGACTGTGATGCCAAGCCGGCTCATGCTGTGCGTTTCCCTGCTGCTCCTGCAGCCTGCCCACAACAGGCGGCTTCCTGCCCAATGGGGAGCAAAGGACGACGAAGGCCCATATGGCAGGCAGGGGGTTGATCACTTCCTCCTGACCTTTCCCCACCCCCAAGAAGTCCAGTCAACGCCAGAAGACATCGTGCCTACAGTTACAATGTGCAGTGTTTTTAAGGGGCAGAGAAATGTCACATAGAAAGTATTACAAAGAAGGATTAAATCTGTCAGCTGTCCAAACACTAGTAAGACCACATGCTTTGTACAGCGGCAATGCAGTCGGGCCCATGGCGACGGGCGGCACTGGGCAGGCCTCTTCCGGTCGGGCACAGGCTCAGAAGGCGGTGGCCGAGGATGGCATGGCGGCAGCGCTAGGAGGGCTGCTGCTTCTGGAGCCTTCGCTCGGCGGCAGCAGCCAGCATCCTCCGCCGCAGGGCCACGGGGTCAGAGGACGGGACTTCAGGGGCCAGAAAGCTCTCTGCAGCTGTGTCCTCTTCAGAGCTTTTGTTTAGGAAGCGCCTACAAAACAAACACAGTCACAAGAAAGACGGGCCCTGGTGCACAGGCAGGCTGCCTCGGCTGCAGCTGCCGACAAGGCCACGGAGCCCTGAAGAGGGGACCATGTCTCTGCATGGGTGGCAAATCCCTCTGCTATCCAGCCCACCCTGCCAACACCATCAGGACACAGAGCCAACCTGAGTGAACCCCACTGGCACTGGCCCCCAGCACTGAAAGAAACCTCCTTACAACTTCTCATAGACTGCCGTGCCCGCTGCAGTGGTGGCCCAGATGGGAGGGCTGCACTCACAATCATGTTTAGTCACTAGGCAAGAAGGGTGCCTTGGGACCTGGACATCAGGCCCAGGCCAGTGCTGACTCCTAGGCCTCAGCTTCTTCTGCTACAGGTCTTCCAAATGGGTCGAATAATGCAGACCCGTAAGAGTGGTTCTAAGCATTAAAATGCAGGACACAGTGGATACTGGGACACAGACGGCTGTCCATGCTGGTGTCTGAAGTCGTCCACAGGGACATCTGGCTGCCCAGCCCAGCACACATGTAGTCAGACTAAGCTTTGCCAGAGCAATGAAATCAGAGATGTCAGGAGGCAGGTAACAACTGTCCCATGTTTTATCTGTTCCACCAGAAGTGGGTCTAGAGGCTAGCAACCCTCAGCACCTGGGGTTTGTATTGGCCTGTGCCGACCAGGGCTGCAAAAGCCACTTACTTCCGAGCCTGCTGGAGGAGGTCGTCCTTGCGCTGCACTAACATGCGCTGTCTCTCGTCGGCTGACTTGGAGAAGCGGCTCCCACGAGCCTCAAAGTCCTCTGCCTCGCCGGGCTCTGTGTCGGCCTCACTGATGTCCAACGTCTCTTCCAGATGAGGACCAAGGTCCAGGGGCACTCGTTCTGTCTGGACATGACAGAGACAAGGAAGTAACTGTGAGCACAGGCCCTCCCTCAGCAGAGTCTGCTCCGGCCCGGGCCTCCATCCCTGCCAGGCTGGCCTGTGTGTGCGGGGGGGCCGCTGCTGGGCAGGCAGGCCTCAGCCTGTGTGCGGGTTTAAGCAGAGGGGGGCAGGAGCTCCCCAAGGACAGGCTGCTCCCATGAGAGGTGTTCAATGTTGGTGCAACAGAAAAATCTTTAATAGTCTAAATAATACAAGCATTTCCAAAATCATACAATTTCTTAAAAGACAAAATTAACCACTAATCTGGGCATTTTGATTCTATAAATTGCCCAAAGATTTTTAAAATATGGTTGGATATTAGCATGTCACAACTTTTTCATTTTTCTATTTTTATTTATTTTAAAGGCAGACAGACAAAATAAAGAGATTTCTCCATCTACTGGTTCACTCCCCAAATGCATGTAACAGCTGGAACGTGGCCAGGCAGAAGCTAGAAACCCAGAACTCAGTCTGATCTCTTACATAGGTAGCAGGGACCAAATCACTTGAGCTAGCACCTGCTGCCTCCCAGGGAACTCATTAGCTGGAAGCTGCAGTCAAAGTGAGCAGGACTCAAACTCAGGCAGTCTGGTATTGGATATGGGTATCCTAAGATTTTCCATTTGCTGGTTCACTCCTCTAAAAGGTTTCAATGGTGGTGGCTGTGCTGTGCCAGGCCAAAGACGGGGGGCCTGGAACTCCATCAGGGTCTCTTATGTAGGTCTGTGAGTAACAGGGGCCCAAGCCATCCTCTGCTGTCTTCCCAGGCATATTAGCAGGAAACTGGATCAGAAATGGAGTAGCTGGGACTCGAACTGGTACTCATATGGGATGCCAGCATTGCAGGTGATGGCTAAAGCCAAATGCATTGCAATACCAGCTCCACCAAGAGGGAAGCTTAACTGTTGTGCCAAATTTCCACCCCAGAGCTTCATCTGTATCTCTCAAGCGTGTGCAGGGCCCCAAACACTCGGGCAATCTTCCATTCCTTTCCCAGGCGCATTAGCAGAGAGCTGGATAAGAGGTGGAACAGCCAGGACATGTGACCCAGTGCCTATGTGGGATGCTGACATCACTGCACAAATCTCCACCTCACTGGACTCTGAAAGCAGGGTCAAGTCGGTAAAAGCTAAGAATTTAAAAAAACAGACTAGATGGGCCCAGCACAGTACTCTAGCAGCTAAAGTCTTTGCCTTGCACACACCGGGATCCCATATGGGCGCTGGTTCTAATTCCGGTGGCTCTCGCTTCCCATCTAGCTTCCTGTTTGTGGTCTCGTAAAGTAGTCAAAGACGGCCCAAAGCCTTGGGACCCTGCACCTGTGTGGGAAACCCAGAAGGGGCTCCGGGCTCCTGGCTCCTGGCTTCGGACTGGCTCAGCTCTGGCTGTTGTGGCCACTTGGGGAGAGAATCATCGGATGGGAGATCTTCCTCACTGTCTCTCTTCTCTGTATATTTGACTTTGCAATAAAAACAAAATAAATCTTTTTTTTAAAAGACCAGACTATGGGGCCCGGCGCGGTGGCGCAAGTGGTTAAGGTCCTCGCCTTGCACGCCCGGGATCCCATATGGGGGCCGGTTCTAATCCCGGCAGCCCCGCTTCCCTTCCAGCTCCCTGCCTGTGGCCTGGGAAAGCAATTGAGGACGGCCCAAAGCTTTGGGACCCTGCACCCGCGTGAGAGACCCGGAAGAGACTCCTGGCTTCGGATTGGCATAGCATCAACCGTTGCGCTCACTTGGGGAGTGAATCATTGGACAGAAGATCTTCCTTTCTGTCTCTCCTCTCTGTATATCCGCCTTTCCAATGAAAAAATAATAAAAATAAAATAAATCTTTAAAAAAAAAAAAAAAAAGACCAGACTATGTATTTCCTTGTATACGTTAAGATACACGATGCTTTCTTGGTTTTGGCTCAGGCTCTGGAGGTCAAGATTATATCAAGGTACCCCCAGGCCCTTAAGCCCCACCCCTAGGAGCATATCGGTGACAGCCAGCTCAACAAGTTGCCTTCCTCTAGGCTGGCTGAGAAGCAGGCAGTTTCGCTGGTGTGTGAGGTTGTCTGTCACCCACTGCCACCTTTGTGCCTTCAGCCATGCCCTGGAGGCTCTACAGAAAGAGCCTGTGGAGTTAGAACTGTATTCTCTAAAGCCTATGAACACAGGGCCAGGGGCCTGTGCACACCAGGCAATCCAGAAAACAGATTCCAACTTCATACCAGAGGGCCAGGCTCTGACAGCAGCATGCACCATGCGGGTGGCCTGCAGGAGGAAACCGGTCTAAGGCTGACAAATAACTTCACCCAGAAGGACCTCTAGGAGGAGGGCACAGTGGGCATGCGCAGCCAGCCCAGGGTGCCCTTGCCAGGTTTGCATGGGTCCATTCTCCCTGTCAGTCCTGGGCCCAGCTACTTCCAGCTCACAGTGGCAGGACTGGCCTAGGGCAGCATAAGCCCTTTCTATCCAGGACATGACAGCAGTCACCAGGCAGTGGGTTACAGGCTACATCATGACAGAGCTTCATTTTTTAACCTTTAAGGACACAGGAAAAGGTCATTGGGCACAGTAAGTTAAACCACCACTTGAGGAATCTGCATCACAAATCAAAGTGGCGTGGATTCAAGCTGGCTCCACTTCCTACTCCAACATCCTGTTAATGAATACCTGGAGAGGCACCAGGTAATGCCTGGGTCCCTACCACCCACATGGGAGACCCTGATGGGAGTCCAGGCTCCTAGCTCTGGCCAGATTCAGCCCTGGCAGTTGGAAGCACTTAGGGAAGATGCCAGCAGATCAGAACTCAAATAAGTAAAAATGTGAAAAAAAAAACAAAAACCAACCAGCTTTGGAGATGAACCTAGCACCTGGTTTTCTGTACTCTTGTCACATGTCCCACACATGTAAGGACCACACGCCTCCTCCACAGCCCAGGTGCTCTCTCCCTGGTGTGTGGCTCTCACCTGAGTGGAAACTTCGCCCTCGTCCAGGTCACTGTTTGGTCTCTCCACAGGACTGGTCAATGCAGGCCGCATGCTGTCCGACCGCTGAAAGAGACACAGGATGACCAAGCAGTCAGTTGCGGGCGGGGGATCCCCCAAGTACAAGGTAAGCTGCAGTGCCTTGCACACATGACAACTTCCCTAGGGCATCAAAGAAATCAAACTACTATGAAGGCTAACAGCAGAAAGAGCCCGCAGCTGGACAGAGAGCCTCAGCAGCAGCAGTAACTAGCAGGAGTGATTCACACCACGGACAGTAATGTCAACAGCCATGCACCCTGCCCGACACTCAGCTCTAGGGCTGGCACCAAGAACTACGCCTCATCTTCCTGATACCCTATCCACTAGGCTTTGTGCTCGCTCCCATTTTCGGCAATGTTACAGAAGCTCTGGGTAGCAGTCTGTGCCCCTTTCATTCTTACCCCTCTATCCCCCCGCTGCCTAATTCCTCTACTCTGCCTGAGGACTTTGATCACATGAAGTAACTATCACCTCCAGGGGCAGCCCATGGCCCTTCTCTGGGGAGGGACAATAAGGCTGACACTGGAGCCAGGTGGTAGCCTGACAGATGCAGCTTAAGTCATCCATGGTGGCAATGTGCCCACCAATACCCATCTCCAGCTTCTCCATCTTCAGCCCCCTCCTGCTGACAAACCCTTCTGTCAATCAGGTCAGATTGCTCAGACCAAGGAATCACATTTCCTGTTTTAGCCCACTGGAATTCAAAGCCCTGTTCATTCTCTCTTCAGAGTCTCACATGTTTGAGTCCTATGAATAGACTTCCATATACTTTTGCATACTAAAATCAAATATTTGGTAGATTATTGTTGATCATATAAAAATTCCTTGGTCCTGCCAGAAAATTATCTATGCTAACATCACTTGTATTCATCAAAGAAGTGGGGAGGGCTGGCATTTGGTTTACAGTTAAGACACCACTGGGATGCCCACCTCACAGACCAGCATGCCTGGACCTGAGCCCTGGCCACGCCCCTGCTCCAGCTTCTGGCTACCATGCACCCTGGCAGGCAGAGGAGACCAAGGCTTCAAACCCCTGCCTCTCATGCGGATTCCTAGACTTAGATCCGGGCTCCCAGGCTTGGCCAATCCCAAGTCCTGATGGCATAGGGGGAGTGAAGTCATGGGTGCAAGGTCTTTCACTCACTGCCTCTCAAATAAATACATTTTTAGAAAGTAAAAAGGTTATATAACAGATCAGGAGATCTTTTAGAAGAAAGTGAAAGACTTTTAGAGGAAAGTCAAAAATGGCACATGTGAACTGTGACTAATGGAATATCACACCAGCGTGCAAAGCCAACCAGGGCCAGACGGCATCATTTCCTATCACAAGGGCCCTGCAGATGGCAGCCCTGCTGTCAAATTCATTCTTCCTCCCATTTCTGCAAATAAAGTTTTATTGGAACAGTTTTGTTCACGGATTCACATACCAGGCGATCTCAAAAAAGTTAAGGAAAACGTGCATTATAAAAAAGCTACATGGGTCCGGCACGATAGCACAGTGGTTAAAGTCCTCGCCTTGCACACACCAGGATCCCATATGGGTGCCGGTTCTAATCTCAGCTTGTGGCCTGGGAAAGCAGTTGAGGACGGCCCAAATCCTTGGGACCTAGCACCTGCATGGGAGACCCGGAAGAGCTCCTGGCTTCGGATTGGCTCAGCTGCAGCCATTGTGGTCACTTGGGGAGTAAACCATTGGACGGAAGATCTTCTTCTCTGTTTCTCCTCCTCTCTGTATATCTGACTTTCCAACAAAAATAAATAAATCTTTAAAAAAAAAGCTACAAACACATTTCAAATTTTTTTCCATCCAAGCAAACTGATCTTTTAATTTTATTTTTCCATGAATTTTCTGAAGTGCCTATGTGTTAGCCACGTTTGTCTGAGTTGCAACAGAGACAATGATCTGAAAAACCTAAACTATTTACTATCCACCTTGTCATAGAAGAAGATTGCCAACCCCTGTGCAGCAGCTGATGCTGAGCTCCTAGACTGGCCAGGGCAGGCCGATCTGAGGATTACAGCTGAACAAAAAGTCAGTCAAATACCTCTGTCCCCATCTTTAGTGGAGTCTCATTTATAATGTAGGGACAGTTTACGGAGTTGATTTGTATCATATCACGAGTGAGATCTGTTTAGTAACTAGGAAAGTTAGTCCGCAGTATGCCTCCTCTGTGCAGATGGAATCCACCTGCCAAGCTTACAACCCCAGCTTCACCTGGGTCGGAAAAGGGACTTGAATCCGTCCTTCTAGAATGTTGTCTGTTGTTATTTCAACAGAGCGTGTCAGCTGGAGGTCCTGCAGCACCAGGTGATACGGAACCTGGGGAAACATCTCTTGGATCTGATGAGCCTGCAGGAACATCAAACACAAAGGGCAAGCCGTCACTCCCAGCAGGTGCTCACTGAGGCCCACGCGCACGGCAGACCCGTCCAGTGACTGGGATGCTGTGCCGTGACAGCAGCTGAGGACACCCCCTCTGCTCTGCAGATCCCCTTCCAATCATCTTTCCAGGATGCCCAACAGACAGCTGGGGACAGCATCAATCTCACAGTCAACTTAACACAGAGAGCCAGTGGCAGGCCAAACGGGGTCAAGCAGAACACTTCCATCTTGAAAAGTGGATATATAAATTCGTTTTCCTTAAAGACAGAATTCCTAAAAGGAACAAATTTGATACACACACGAGAAAACTCAAGTACATTATGTTAAATGAAAGAAGCTGCACTCAAAAATCTCACTGCATGATTCCATCTGCATGACATCATCTGGTACAGGCAAAACCGGAAGGACAAAAAACTGGTAAGTGTCTACCAGGGGCTAGGGCTGAGGGGAAGGAAGTAATGTCCCAGGGGCCCCACGGAACTTAGGAGAAAGGGGAGTGCAGCTTCTCTATACCTTCATCATGGCAAGGGGTACACATGTGTCTGTGTGGAACTAGATATGAAAGAGAGTACTTTTTTTTTTTAATTGTACATAAATTACATCACAATTTGAAGGGGGAGGGGAGACAATAAAGAATACAGATTACTGGGGCTGGCACTGTGGCACAGCAAACTGATCTTCCACCTGCAGCACTGGCGTCCCATATGCGCATTGGTTCATGTCCCAATTGCTCCACTTTCAATCTAGCTCCCTGCTTGTAGCCTGGGAAAACAGCAGAGGATGGCACAAAGCCTTGGGACCCTGTACCCACATGGGAGACTCAGAAGAGGCTCCTGGCTCCTGGCTCAAGATCTGCTCAGCTCTGGCCGCTGTAGTCATTTGGGGAGTGAGCCAATGGATGGAAATTTCCCTTTCTCTCTCTCTAACCCTGACTTTAAAAATCTAAACAAACAAACAAACAAAATATCCTCTCCACTGTTTCTCGAATGATGCCCAAGATGCATTTCATGAGCCCAAAGTTTTTCTACCAAAAATTCCAGCAAGTTAAATAATAGATCTTAAAAAACAACAACAAACCAACCCACATGGTTCCATTACATTAACCATCACAGTACAGGAGGAAGAGTCTGCCAGAGAACTGGAAACACTCAACTCCCAGGCCCAGAAGGGTCATCCGCCTACTATATCTGATGCTTAGGGGGTAGGTGACCACCTGCAGAGTTTCATAGCTGCCCTGCCCCCCAGACCTCCAGAGAACCTGCCCTGAGCCGGATGCCCTCTAAGGCCATCCTGTCACCACCATGCTGCTTTTACGTTCCACTGATCACAGGAAAAGTAGGAGCTGTAACTTCTGTTGTGGCTGCCTTTTTTACGCTGGCCAAAAGCCAGTAGATTTTACCATTGCAACTGTCTTTGAGGGCATGGTGTATTAACTTAAAGTACATTGTGGTGAGAGATGTATCAGCTGCACCATGGAAAGCCTGTACCCAACTCAATAGCAGCTGCCTTCTTCCTCCAGTCCTGCTCCACCAGTATTCTGGTTTCCTAGGTCAGGCACCTCCTATCCGGAATCTAACAGTATCCGTTAGTGGGACTGGCTTATCTCATGTGAAACAGCATCCTAAAGGTTTACCATACCTGAGCCTATGATAGGGCTCCTTCTTTAAGACTGCATAACATTCCACTGTTCTGTGCTCACCATGTTGTCTGTACCCATTCATCTCTGCTTGCTTTACCTTCATGGCTAAGAGTCATTGCCCACTTTGTAAACCAAGTCACAAAATATGAGTCTGCAGCTCCATCCACCTGTGCCCACCAACAGCAACCCCGCTCCTGCTACAGCTCCAGCCCCATCCTCCACTCAAAGACTTCCTTCTTTTTGTCAACTTTTCTATTTATTCCAAACCACTGGACCCTGTGTCTTCAGAGACCACTACCATTCATATTCCAAAGAAGCTTCCGACTGCAGGGGAAGGCCCAGGTTGCGACTGGCAAACGGGTGAAGGTGCAGAGCTGACAGCTCCAGGCAGTGGAAACTCACTCCCAGTGGCCCAGGAGCTATACCAGGTCCCTGCAATGAACACTCAGGCTTCCAGCGGGGAAGGAGAAAAAGGAACCATTTAAAATTTCCAGATCTCTCTGCTCTGCTTAACAAGGGTCAGCCCCCAGGTAAAACCAGCTAACCAGAGTCTAACCTTCCACCATGTTGTCCACCTACTTGGACTGGGCAAGGGAAACAGCCTGCCCCAGCCAACTCTAGCCGTCTAGCAGGGAGACGCCTGCCCTCATGCCTCACCAGAGAGCCCGAGGAGTACTGAGACACGGGCAGTCCAGCAAGCCTGCAGCCTAGTCCCAGGTCTGGGGGCTCCTGCCTACTGGTGACCTGAGCGGCTATGTACAGTAAATACATTCAAATTCAGTAAAGAACAAATGAATTAATGAATGACCTCTGAATTATCAGCTAGAGACCCCAGTCCAAGTAGATTAAGGCAGCTTATATTTCTAGACTCCTGTGCTTATTGCTAACAATAAACTGCAGATTTCAAAAGTAGTGAAACAAGCTTCTCCACCATTGTAAAAAGCACACATCTTGGGCTAAGTATGGTAGCCTAGCAGCTGAAGTCCTCGCCTTGAATGCACTGGGATTTCATATGGGCACCAGTTCATATTCTGGTAACCCCACTTCCCATTCAGCTCCCTGCCTGTGGCCTGGGAAAGCAGTTGAGAATGGCCCAAAGACATGGGACCGTGCACCTGCATGGGAGACCCGGAAGAAGCTCCTGGCTCCTGGCTTCAGATCGGCTCAGCTCTGGCCATTTCAGTCACTTGGGGAGTGAATCACTGAATGGAAGATCTTCCTCTTTGTATATATAACTTTCCAATAGAAAAAATAAATAAATCTTAAAAAAAAAAAAAAGCACACATCTTTGGACAAAATATCTGAACAATATCCTTGAGTCAACAATATGCCTCAACATCTCAATATACGTAAGCACACACACTCAAACACAATTCCTTATTTCTGAGTAGTTAGTGAGGACAGGGAATCAAAACCTCAACTGGTAAGCCTCATGTCATTTTAAATAAGAAACACTTGGTTCACTCCAGTCAATCATTGTCCCCAAAATATTCTGGGCAAACTCCAGGAGCGTCTCAAGGTGGGCTGCAGCAGAGAACGAGCCTTGGGGTGCTCACAGGTGAGCTGATCTGCCACAGAGGGAAAATGAAGCTGCCTTCCAAATGGCTTCAAAACTTAAAGCACGGGAATTTACATGACCACAGTGACCTTTAAATATCTTGCTATCCTGCCAGGAAGAGTAAAATCAACAAGGTTCACACACACTAAACCTGTCTGCAGCCTTTCACTCCCTCCCCAGCACCAGCCGTCTTAGAGCGGTCGGTGGGCCTTACCATGGCGTTCAGCTGGGAGTTGCTTGCCTGCGCGATGCCAAGAATGTTGGTGGTGTGCATCACTTCGACTGAGAAGCTCGGCAGCCAGCTCGCAATCCGGGACCCTAAAACAGAGGCGACGCCAGCACACATTTTAGAGACCAGACACTGCCCCCGCGTCATCTAGTGCCAGCCCTCCGTAACAGTGGCAGGCATATGGAGGACGGACTTCCTGCAAGACCGTGGGTGCCAAGTGTCTCCCGTGGGTTAGTGGTCTCCCCACAGGGTCCTGCCTGTTTTTATTTTCTTCTCTTCAGAAATGTGGCCCTCATTACCATGGTCCCTGATCACACCAGATAACTGGGTGACTTACACAAGGTCAAGCTTAATTATGATGTGCAGCCATTTTGTCACCTGTCTTCCTCTTCCCAAGGGCTCCTGACTTACCCTCCAATCCCCTCTCCACAGAACAGAAGGAAGAGGTCTCCATGCCTCCAATGACAGGTGAGTTTCTGTTTCTCTCATTCAAACTAAACAGAAACTACTACTCATTTCCACAACTACTTTTATGATGTATTTTCTCCTTAATAATCTAACTTAAAGATCTTGGTCTGGGGCCCGGCGCGGTGGCGCAAGTGGTTAAAGGTCCTCACCTTGCACGCCCGGGATCCCATATGGGCGCCGGTTCTAATCCCGGCAGCCCTGCTTCCCTTCCAGCTCCCTGCCTGTGGCCTGGGAAAGCAGTCGAGGATGGCCCAAAGCTTTGGGAACCTGCACCCACGTGGGAGACCCGGAAGAGGCTCCTGGCTTTGGATCGGCATAGTATCGGCCCGTTGTGCTCACTTGGGGAGTGAATCATCGGACGGAAGATCTTCCTCTCTGTCTCTCCTCTCTGTATATCCGCCTTTCCAATGAAAAAATAATAAAAATAAATCTTTAAAAAAAAGAAAAAAAAAAAAAGATCTTGGTCTGGGGGCAGATAAAATGGCTGAATCGATTCAGCCAGCAGTTGGCACATCCACTTCCCATTCTAGAGTGCCTGGTTGGAGTCCTGGCTCTTCCACTTCTGACCCAGCTTCCTGTTAGAGCATCCCAAAAGCACAAGATTGCAGCTCAGGTGCCTGGGGTCCTGACAGGCATGCAGGAGCTCTAGAAGTTACAGGTACCTGGCTTCAGCTTGGCATATCGGGAGTGAACCAACAAATGGAAGATCTCTCTCTTTTTCCCTGTCACTGTTTTTCAAGTAAAAAAAAAATCTTGGTTTAATGATCCAAAATCATTTTCAAGGTGTTCAACAGCACTGATTTTCAGAATGAAGGCACCCAGAAAGCTGGCTGCTGATGCTCTTCTCCCAAGCAAGGCGGAGCACAGACCACAGCCGAGTACCAGTTGCAGATGGCTCCTGCACATCTGCCCACAACAGAGGCTTGTGGCCATCGCAAGGCCTAGCCAACCGAAATGTGCCCATTATAAGAAAATGGATGTTTCATATACTTAACTGGGAGAAAAAAAGTTGATTTTGAATTTTTAATAATGATACGTTCTAAAGTAACACACTGTATAACAGGCATCTGCTTTTAAGATCTGCTACTAAATGTCAGAGGGCCTTAATTAACAGCCAGAAAGCCAGTGCTCTGGGGTGCTCTCAGGGATGTCTCCCGCCAGCTACTACTCCCACAGCACCCCATCTTCAGAAATGCCAACCTGAACAGCACTCTTCCCAACAGAATTGTGGGAATACTGTTTCACAGGAGTAATCAGAATCAAGAACTCAGGAATTCCAGTAGTACTGGAATGGACGAAAATCAGCAGCTCAAAGTAATTAATGTCCAGAAGGATACTGGTCCCTGATGGAATGTCTGTTGCCTTAGAATTTTAAATATGTATTCTATTACAATTTCTTTCAACAATACTTGGGGGCAGAACACTTCTATTTTATGGAAAAAGCAACAGGCTTCTCTCTCAGATTCTGCATCTGGTACTCACTAGAAGGCTATTCAATGATGCTTTTTCTATATGCTCAATACCACACGAGTGCAGTAAATTACTACCCAAGGTTAATTATTTTACTAACTGAGCATGCTCCTTGAGGAGATATCGACTCCCACTCCACTTACACAGACCCAAATGTCCGTAACAAAATGTCTCACATAGAATAATCCCTCTGTTCCTCCTATCTGCCTCCCTACCTACTCAGGCATCTCCCCATCCATCCTGAATACTTCCAATTAAATTGAAATATAATATTAAACTGGTGTGGACAAGATATTTATAATGAACAAAACTGCATCCCCTTTTGAAGAGAAAGCCCCTTGAGTACAGTTCTGGAAGTAAAACCCAAACTAACCATCGAAGTGGAAGAAGTGATTGTGCTGGTTTAAGCGAGGTCTGCCTTCAGCTGCTGCTACAGGCACCAAATTCTCATCCAGGTTCTCGCCTTGCTGGTCTTCCCTGACACGACTGTTGTCAGCGATGTTGAGAGACATTCTGCATGTTGGACAGGAGGTGTCTTGTTCTAGCCAGGAACGGAGACAGGAACTATCAAAAAGTCCAAAATGAAACACATGAGCATTCTCAGTGGTTCCACAGCACAGTTTGTGCCAATTCACCCAAAATACTCTGCACATAGCAAATGTGCTCCAATTTTACTTTGTCTACTCCCCATGAAGTTCAAGTGCTGAGAAACACTTGTAGACCTTACTTCTTTGCTGTACCTGAGTGAATACTCAGATACTTCCAGCATGCTCTGCTAGAACATTCTTCATCATCTGTAGCTATCTACCAAGCTCCTGGGAATGACCTCTTTGAAAAAGCATAGCCCGCCATTTTTATTCCCAACTTTATTTGGCTTAAGAGTCCACATGGCTGAATCTTCTGACAGCCTGTCCTTTCCTATCTTTGAGCCCTCTGCTCCAATGCTCTTCTCTTTAGGCCGCCTTAACTGACTTGTGATATGATGTTAACCTTGCTTTCATGTTCAAAACTTTGACTTCAAAGATTTTATGTGCTCACTAGAGCTCCTCTCCTAACTCACTTTTCTACAACCATCCATATAATTCTCTCTCTCTCCCTCCCTCTCCTTCCTTCCCTCTCTTTCTCTCAAGATTTATTTATCTGGTGCAATGATTCTCTACTGGCTTATCCTCCACCTCCAAGGGCTGGCACCCCATGTGGCCACTGGTTTGTGTCCTTGCTGCTCCACTTCCCATTCAGCTCCCTGCTTGTGGCCTAGGAAAGCAGAGGAGCAGGGCCCAAGATCTTGGGATCTTGCACCCATGTGGGAGACTTGCAATAAGCTCCTAGCTCTTGGTTTTGGATCAGCTCAGCTCCAGTAGTCACATCCTCTTGGGGAGTAAACCAGCAGACAGGGGATCTCTATCTCTTTCTTTCTATAAATCTTGCATATATGTGATGCCAGTGCTGTGAGTAGAGGCTTAGCTTGCTAAGTCACCATTCTCGCTACTATGCACCCACTTTTTTCAACAAGCATGCTGCCCTATGTCTTTTGTTTGTAAATGATACTTCAGGTAACAACTTGCCCAGAAGCCAGGATGAAGCTACTTTTTCCTATCTCTGTATCTGAAGAGTAGGACAATCGTTCCAAAATCACATAATTGTGTGTGTGTGTGTGACCAAGTCTATCACATTTTGAAATGTTAAACTACCTGTAATCCCTGTTTCTGGTCATCTGGTTGACTAAAGTACTGCATTTTTTGAAAGTCTACTTTCCCTTATGGAACACCCTTCTATCACAGCACTACAAATCTACACGCTCCTGGCCCTCTAACAATGCTATGCTGACAATGACACACTTTTTCATAAACAAATCCAATTTTATTTCAAGACAGCAGATAACAGCAGCTGAAACTCAAACACGAGTTCAATCAGAGATATTTGTCTATATATGTAAAAAAGCTAGACAACTGAAAAAGCAAACTTCAGAGAAAATATTTTTTCCTCACAATTTTAATGCTATTTATTTGGAGAACTACTGCTGCTCTACATGACTCCTGAGTGCAACTGAAGATTCACTGGCCCCTGTGAAAGGTGTCACTATGGCAACAACTGGCCAGTGAGCACCTGCTGCCAGACAGCCAGCAGACCAGCTTCGCCCACACATTCAGATGAATCTGCCTCCATTACCCTCACGCAGTGCTACTCCCACTCTAGTACCAAAGTTACAAAGTAAAACAAACCAAGACAATGCCCGAACAATGAGGTTCTCCCTCAATCCATGGCAGACAGCAGTTGCAAAAAAAGAAAAACACTGGGAAATTAGAAAATACTGAGACAAAAGAAAGCCAAAACAAATATAATCAAAAGTTTTGAGGCACGGGGAAATCGATGCTCAGAACCAGCCTCATAGCTAAAAATGCTAAGAAAAGAAAAGAAAAGAAAAGAAAAGAAAAGAAAAGAAAAGAAAAGAAAAGAAAAGAAAAGAAAAGAAAAGAAAAAAAAGGAAAAGAAAAGAGAAGAAAAGAAAAGAAGAGAAAGCACTCAAACTAACCAGACAGAGCTAACAGGTTTGTGTTCTGAGAAGTAACAGTCAGAACTGTTGGGGCTGAGGGCCAGGGGAGACCAGGATGAGGAACTTCTGCAGAAGGGGTTCAGCATTTCAGTTAGGGAAGGTAACAAGTCTTGGACACGCAGGGAGGTCAAGGTTGCACAACCACAAGGATATGATCTTATTTCATGCCACTGACCTATAAACTTCAACTGGGCCAGCAGTGTGGCACAGTGGGTAAAGCTGCCACTGTCTGCAATGCTGGCATTCCACAGAGGCACTGATTCATGTCCCAGTATTCCACTTTGGATCCAGCTACCTGCTAATGAGCCCCCACTGCCTCCGCGCCTGGCTCCTGGCTTCAGCCTGGCCCAGCCCCAGCCACTATGGCCATCTGAGGAATGACTCAGCAGGTGAAGACTTCTCTGTGCAGGTGTGTATATGTCCCTCTTTCTGTGGTTCTTTCAAATAAATCTTTTGAAAAAGAGTGGTAAATTTTATGATATATCTTTTATCCCCAAAAAATTATTCCTGAGAATTATCACTCAGGAACCTAACAAAACCTATCACATCAGACACACTGTACACCTGCTGGAATGCCTGCAGGAAAGGGTGGATTAGTACTCTTCTTGTGACACCAGCACCCTCTTTCTGAATGCAGGTTCAAGTCCCAGCTATTCTACTTCAGATCCAGCTTTTGCTAATGTGCCTGGGAAGGCAGCAGGTAACTTCAAGTGCTTGAGCCCCTACCACCTTTGTGGAAGACTCAGATGGCATTCCAGGCTCTGAATTCGCCTGGTCCACTCTTTTGGAGAGCAAACCAGAGGAAAGCAGACCTTTTAGTGTGTTTCTCTCTCTGTTACTCTGCCTTTTTCAAAATAAACAAATACACAAATAAATAAATCCTTAGGGGAGAAGGGCTGGTTTGGCAGTGCTGTGGCATAGCACATAAAGCCACTGCCTGCAATGTCAGCATCCCATGTGGGTGACAGTTTGAGTCCCAACTATTCCACTTCAGATCCAGCTCCCTGCTAATGTAACTGGGAGAGTAGTAGAAGTTGGCTCAAGTCTTTGGGCCCCTGAACTCACATGAGACTCTGAAGAAGCTCCTGGCTTCAAGCTGGCCCAGCTCCAACTGCAGCCAGTTTGAGAGTGAACCAGTAGATGGAAGCTTGCTCACGCTTGCTCTCTAAACTCTGCTTTTCAAATAAGCAGATTTATTAAAAATTAAAAAGAGGAAATCACAAGTATTTGTGAGAATGTGAAGTAACCTGGAGCTCTCACCAGCGCCGCCGAGGGTGGGTTCAGCAGCGTGGCTGCTGAGGGCAGGACGTGGCCCCTCAGAGGCCTCCCCCACAGCCGCCCTAGGAGCCGGCAACTCCACGCCCAGGCAGTCATAAGGTAAAGATGCAGCAGAGAGCTGCTGACATCCCATTCACAGCAGCGTTATTCTCAACAGTCAAAAGGTGCAAACAACCCAAGGTCCAATCAGTGCAGGTTGTGCTTACTGAACAATCATTCACCTTCTACCATGAAAAGAAATGAAGTAGGATATGCATGACAATGGATAACCTCAAAACCAGCATGCTAAGTCTAAGAAGTCAGTTACAGAAGGGTACACACATATCATTTGATAGCTTTTACATGAATTGCCCACATGGACAAATCCACAGAAACAGAAAGGTGACTGGAGGCTGCTGGGTAAGAGGGAAGCGAACAAGAGTGATTACTCAGTGAGTGTGAGGTGGACTATGGGATGATGAAATGCAAAGCTTTAAAAACAAAGGAGTAGTGGCTGCGTTAACACTGAACATAATACGCTCAAAAGTACACTTTAAATAAATGTATGTTGTTTCAATTCCACCTCAACAACAAATCAAACCATAAAATATAATCATATGCTTGAAAATATTTTTTTCTGAGTTAAAACACACTCATTCTTCCTAACTAGCCTCCAAGCTCCTCAGACATAAGTTCTTTGAGAATCTGGGTAAATTCTCTGCCTTCCCAACCTCCACAAACAGCACCACTATATATGCACTTGCATGAGCTGAGAACCCTGAAGAATTCCTGGCCCCTCTTATTCTCTACTTGCCTCAGCCCATATTCCACACTGTGCTCACCTTCCTAGGTGTGTCCACTTCTTTCCAACTCCACTTCATCCTGTTGTTCAAGTTACTCTCAGAATACCACTGAACTGCAGGGATGGTTACTAACTGGCTCCCCTTATATCTTCAAGCTGCCAATCACATCAGCTGGTCCCCACTTTACCCCTTCTTTGGCCTCTGCACCCTGCCTGCTTCTACCTCAGCGCTACCTCTCTCACACGGTGAACATCCCAGTGTCTCTCTCTCTCATATACATGAGACCAACAGCAGAGTCGGTGTTAGAATTCTCGATAACAGTCTGGTCCTCTGCACGCTTTCTTGGGCCTGCTTGAGCCCCCATGGCAGCCCACTTCTCGGAGAAGTGTCTACATGCTGCTGGAGGGCAGGTGTAAAACGCAACACTGCAGATATTCTCTCCTTAGCCAGGGAATGAGGTGTCTGAGAACAAGATTTCCTCAAAATGCTTTCTTTTCAATTTTACAAGCATATTTAAATGCAGAAGAAATAGGAAGAGAGCAAACATGCGTAGAACTTAAGATGGCCAATTGCAGGTGGGCAGCCCTGCAGCACAGGGAAGACCCCGAGGGACAGGGAGGACTCCCCAGGCCGGCAGTTTCAGCAGCAAGGCCAGCCTGAGGCACCAGCCCCGCTCTGCACACAGCTACAAAAGCACCCGCATGCCCTGAACACACCCCTGGTCCCACGCGGTCCTTCAAGAGGCTCCTACTTGTGGAAAAGATGACCACAGGGCAGTTTTCTGGCAGCCTGCATGGAGTCCCAGCAGATGGCACAATCATCATTGTTGACAGCCAGTTCCTCGGGAGTTGCAACTGCAAACCTGTAAGAAACAAAACACGTCCAGCGGCAATCTCCATCTATGCCCAGGCGCAACACACACACTTGACCTAGAGAAGCAGTAATGTGTCACAGACATTGTGCTCAGTGAAACAAATGCTGATAATCAAAACAAACAAACAAACAAACCTAATTTTTCTTTACAGTTCATTAAAGAGCAAGTGAGAAACTCAACATACACTGAAAACAGCTTTGCCTTAAGCACAGCTCCTGTTAGTATCAACTTCAGCGAACGTTTCTGGGGAATCAGGAACAGCACGCCACGAGCCAAATGTACACCCTCAGGGTTGGTCTGTCCTCAGCTGGCAAGTGGGAGCCCCCTTCAGAGCTGCCTGGCTCAGGTTTCACTGCACATGTGCAGGTGTGTATAAACATAATGAAAAGAATACTTGGGACCCGCTTTCAAAAAGTACACAGAGCACAGGCTCCAGAAAGCTTCCCTTTGAAAACAGCACTGATAATACAGACCAACTACTAAGCACCAAGTACCCACCCCGCAGTTCTAAATCCAGGTTATTGTCTCACAAGAGCTTCCCTGTAGGTTCCTGAAGTTCTGTTACCACCTCTGTTTCAGAGACGATGTAACTTGGACACAGGAAATTAACCCACTGCTCTAAATCACACAGCAACGAAGTGGACAGCCATACCCCGTCTGACTCCAGAAGCAATACCCTTCATTGTTGTGGTAACAGTTCACCAAAGTCAATCCTGACGTGGCCTGGGATTTGCTACTGCTAGAGAGCTAAAGAAGTCCCCTGGGTGCCACCCCACGCGTTTACTGACCTGGCTTCCATGTTCCCAACGACCCTCAGGTAGTTCTTGTGCCGACGAATTCGACGCTGAACCTCATGAAACAGGTAACGCAGCTGCATAAAGATGACCAGGCTGGCCATGGACAACCAGATGTTACCAAATAACTTAAACAGGGAAAAAAGGAAAGAAAATACACAACAAAAGTGAATGTGAGTTTGTCAATAATAACAAAATGGTATGAACAGCACCTCTTATGTGTTGGTAAAAATGAACTGGAACCATCTTTTAGAAATCATTTTTAAGCAACTTTTCCACAGAAATCAATTTGGAGGTCAGCGTTAAGGTATAGTGTAGACTGAGCTGCTTGTGATGCTGGAATCCAATACGACTGCTAATTGGAGACCTGGCTGCTCTACTTCTGATCCAGCTGCTTGGCAACGTGCCTGGGAAAACAATGGAAGACCACATGGGCCCGTGCCACACACACGGGAGGCCTGGACAGCATTCCTGGCTGCTGCCTGTGATCTAGACTAGCCTTCAGTATGGTAGCCACTTTGGGAGTGAACCAGTAGATGGAGCTCTGTCTGTTTTTCTCTCTATATATCTTTCAAAAAAAAAAATTTAAAGTAGTAATTTAAAAGCTTTATGCAAAACTATGTCCATCAACACAACTAGTTAAAAATGGAAGTAGATTCCCTAGTGGAGGAACAATTAGGTGGTGAACTACTGTAATGCATCATATAGTCATTAACTGTATTTACTAAGAGAAATAAAATATACAAATATAAAAATACATTTTTATATTTATAATTTATATAGTTATATTATAAAATATTATTTTTTAACCATATCTTTATTACAAGTATATGTTGAAACAACTGGGCCCGGCGTGATGGCAGAGTGGTTAAGGTCATTGCCTTGCATGTACCAGGATCCCACATGGGTGCCAGTTCTGATCCCAGCAGCCCCACTTCCCACCCAGCTCCCTGCTTGTGGCCTGGGAAAGCAGTCGAGGACGGCCCAAAGCCATGGGACCCTGCACCCGTGTGGTAGACCTGGAAGAGTTCCTGGCTCCTGGCTTCGGATTGGCATAGTACTGGCCATTGAGCTCACTTGGGGAGTAAACCACTGGACGGAAGATCTTCCTCTCTGTCTTTCCTCCTCTCTGTATATCCACCTTTTCAATAAAAATAAATAAATCTTAAAAAAAAAACAATTATATATGTTCCTACATATATAGGTCTACTATCTGAAAATAATATAAAGATTTATTTATATATTTATTTACTTATTTGTTTGAAAGGCAGTGTTACAAAGAAAGAGAGGTCTTTAATCCACTGGATCACCTTTCAAATGGCTACACCGACTGTAACTGGGCTGGTCTGAAGCCAGCAACCAGAAGCTTATTCCAGGTCTCCACTATGGGTGCAGGGGCCCAAGAACATGGGCCCACCGCTTTTCCTGGTGCAGCAGCCGGGACTCAAGCCAGTACCCATGGAGGATGTCAGCACCACAGGAGGCAGCTTCACCTACTCCACTATATCTCTGGGCCTGAAAATAACATTTGTTAAGTTAAAAAAAAAAAAAAGGCAGAATATAACTACCTTAAAACTATGTAGGAGATGGTACCATATGGCGTAGCAGGTAAAACCACCACTTGTGACACCATCATCCCATATGGGCACTGGTTCATGTTCCAGCTACTCCACTTCCTATCCAGCCCCCTCTTGAGGCCTGGAAAAGCAGTGGAGGGCAGCCCAAAGCCTTGGGATTCTACAGCCATATGGGAGACCTGAAAAAAGCTCCTGGTTCCTGGCTTCAGATTAGCTAGCTCAGCTCTGGCAGTTTCAGCCATTTGAGCAGTGAACCAACAGATCGAAGATCTTTTCCTATCTCTCTGTAAATCTGCCTTTCCAATAAAAATAAATAAATCTTTAAAAAATTACTTAAAAGTACAAAACAGCAAATAAGTAAAATCTAAATACGCCATTATGGGGTTTGGTTAATGAAATCATTTTATATGTATACAGAGATATCTTTAGCCTGAAGGTATTAAAATTAGAAGAATTATTGCTAGCACAGGAAAATGTTCATAATACATTAGTTAAAGAAAATTAGATTGGGCCCGGCGCGGTGGCGCAAGTGGTTAAGTCCTCGCCTTGCACGCCCGGGATCCCATATGGGCGCCGGTTCTAATCCCGGCAGCCCCGCTTCCCTTCCAGCTCCCTGCCTGTGGCCCCGGAAAGCAGTCGAGGACGGCCCAAGGCTTTGGGACCCTGCACCCGTGTGGGAGACCCAGAAGAGGCTCCTGGCTTCGGATCGGCATAGTATCGGCCCGTTGCGCTCACTTGGGGAGTGAATCATCGGACGGAAGATCTTCCTCTCTGTCTCTCCTCTCTGTATATCCGCCTTTCCAATAAAAAATAATAAAAATAAATCTTTAAAAAAAAAAAAAAAAAGAAAATTAGATTATATATCTCAAATACATCTCATTATGAATGCATGTGTCTGATCCACAGAGGCAGGAAATACAAACTGCTCCTGGCTCCGGGCATCCCCCCCTCTTGGGGGTGGTAGGAAGAGTTGCATGCTTTTCTGTAAGTATGTTTTCAAAGTGACTAACAAATCCTGAAAATGTGGTATGTCTAATGCAAGTTTTTAAATGCTATTTTATAAACATGTATTTTCATTTTTCTTTGAAAGGCACATAAAGAAAGAACTCGTACACCCACTGGCTCACCAAGCAGAATCTGGAGCCCAGAATTCAGTCTGGGTCTCTCTCATGGGTGGCATGGGCCCAACCACCTCCGCCATAACCTGCTGCCATTAGGCATGAACGAGCATGAAGCCGGAAGAGTCAACAGAGCCTGGAGTCAACCCCAGGCGCTGCAACGCAGGATGGAGACGCACAAGCACTGGCCTAACTACTGTACCAATGCCCACCCCCGAAGAGTATCTTCACAGGCTAATAACTAAACTGCTAACCAACTATGTGGATTCTGACCATTTTAAAAGCACTAGTCAATGAAGTAGATTTTCAACAACACAATTTCTCACATACCAAAGTAAAATATAAACAGCAAAAGCCGCAGGAATTAAGTGTAAGGATTCTGGTTTTAATTACAAAGACAGAAATTCTATGAATCCAGGAAGTAGATGACAACATAAATTCCCAGTCCTACCTAAAAATATAGCAGCAGAAGCCCTGAGAACAATGGGGCATGGCGTCCCTTCATTTCATGCACTAGGATTACCTGCTGATTTGGTCCTCAGAGTTGACCAAGACTCCCAGGGGATAAACACCTCCTGAGCTGGGCAACAGCCAAGGCAGCCCTGCCACGCTGCACACAGCGAGTGCAAATGGAGAGAGGGCAAGGCTGCACTCACTCTTTCTCATGCACCAAGCAGGGGCTCTGCCTCGGGACATCCCTGGCCTCCGTGAGTGCTTGGCCTGAGAAACATACCAGCATGTGAATGTGGTGCATGAGGTCCAGGGACACGAGTGTTAGCTCCATGACAAAATCCGTGTAGTAGACATACGTTCCCTTTCCTTCCCAGGTCCCCTCGTGGTTGAGGTCCCAGAGGTGAATAACATATCTGCAACACAGATGCCAAACACGGGAGCGAAGAATCATTAACAATTTACTCTTACGACAGGATTTGGCTGAAGTGTGTTATATAGTTCACTCATATTTTTACATATTTCATACCTTAGTTTTATAAACATTTGTTTGACCAGACCTCAATTAATATTCTCCCAGATTTCTACTCACCGTAAAATCACATGAGCGGTCCTCACTGTCACAAGAAGGGACTGCAAAAGACAAATACTCAGTTCACTTAAGAAGTAGACTGTTCAAGTTCACAAATCATTTTATGTCTTCTGCTTCATACTTCCATGGAATAATTTCATAAGCCACAAGCCCAGCTTATATTGAGCCTTTTGCTATCAAATAGATGAAGATCAATTCCACCTGCCCATCATCAAGGGACGCCTTCTACTATTCTGAGGTTCATCCTAGTAGTCTGAAAATCATTTCTATTTCATATGGCATTAGCCCACCAAAAACAATTATCGAGAAAGGTATCTGACTATTTAGTCATAATATACCCAAAATATAGTTCTGGGGAGTGCGCCTTGGTGCAAGAGTGAAGTCAGCACTTGGGATGTCTGCCTCCCATGTGGGAAGGCCTGCTTCACCATGGCTTCTCTGCTTCTCATCTAGTTGCCTGTTACTGTGTCCCCTTGGAGGCAGCAGTGACAGCTCAAGTGTTTGCATCCCTGCCACCCACACAGGAAACCCAGATCAAGTTTCAGACTCGTGGCCCAGCCTGCATATGGTGACCAACTCAGTAGAGGGAAAATGTCTTTCAAACAAAATTAAAAAATTAAAAATATATGCATATGGACTGGGTTGAGGTACTACTGTCCTAGATTAGGGTACTTTCTTTCTTCCTGATACTCTGGTCTCCCTGTCCACCAGAAAACAATGAAGATCTTTAAAAAATCATTTTAAAACATTTTAACAAGCTTTTTAGAAGAAACAAATTATATTCTAGAAATCAATATTAAGAAAAACTTTCAAGCCTGGTGTGGTAACCCAGAGGCTAAAATCCTCGCCTTGAGCGCACAGGATCCCACTTGGGTTCTGATCCCAGCTACCCTGCTTCCCACCCAGCTCCCTGCTTGTGGCCTGGGAAAGCAGTCAAGGACAGCCCAAAGCCTTGGGACCCTGCACCCACACAGGAGACCCAGAAGAATCTCGTGGTTTTGGATTGGCTCAGCTCTAGCCGTTATGGCTGTTTGGGAAGTGAATCAGCCGACAGAAGATCTTCCTATCTGTCTCTCCTCCTCCTCTGTATAACTGACTTTGCAATAAAAATTTTAAGATCTTAAAAAAAACAAAGAGTATGTAACACAGTATGACCTATAGGTAAAATTTGGTTTTTTATGTATAATTTTTCTAAAGGTTGGCAAAATATTAATTGAAAATTAAATGAGAATCAAAAGTAAACACGTGATTATAAGTATATAAAAGAATACAAAGAAAACAAATTAATATGCCAATATAAAGTTTTAAGCCAATTATTTCAAGAGAAACTATATTTGTTTACCTTGTATATGCAGAAACTATTAGGCAAAAATTGGAAATATTTTTATAAGTACTTAAACTTTCTAATTTTACTCAAACTGTGTTGTATTCTGAAATGAAGACTAGACTACAAATGAATTTTAATCCTGTTCTGAAGAGTCCCCAATTAGTGGTTCTAACAGCTTGTTTTGATAATAACAAATTAGCTTCGGTATACCTAACACAGGACACCTACCTCCTCCGGGTGGGATGCGTTCCAAGATTCCCCTTGCAGGCCGAAGCGGGGACTGCACCAGACCCTAGGGATAGCTCACTTTTTCACTGTGACAGTGCTGTCTGATCATCCAGTGACTACTAAGTAACCATCAGGCCAGTAGCCCAGATAATGTGGATATGATAATCCAGGGGAAGACCCATGTCCTGGGCAAGATTAGGCAAGATGGGGCAGAACGGAATGTAGGGTCAAAGGAGGTGAGAGATTTCATCACGCTCCTAAGGATGGCCAAAACTTAACTTACAAATGCCTGAAATTTTCCATTTCATATTTTCAGACTGTGGGTCACTAAAACTAGGAAAAGTGACACTTCAACTAAGAGAAGATCATGGCATTTCATTGTTGAAGTTAATAATAGCAATTATGTATAAAATAAAATTAGTTTACCTATAGCCTGAGGAAAAAGCAAATATAGCGACCAAACTTCAGGGTACATAAAAACATTGATTTCCAATTTCCATAAAAACTAGTATTTTCAGGAAGGCTTAATTAAAACAGCAAAAACTTTTTTTTTAAAGTTTAAAATTCCATATGTAGCTCAAATATTTTCTCTCCAAAACAATGTTTTCCTTGATACACGGACTAGCTACCTGCCATCCATGACACCTGAAGAACGCCTCTCCCAGCTTGGAGCGGGAGGATGTGCCCCGTGCCTCTTGCCCTCTGCAGTCTCTTGCAGTTCTCATTGCTCTCCACGCCTCAACATCCCATTATGAAGCAGAATTACAAAAGGAGCAAATACAGGTAAAATGTTAAGATGACCTCTGGCATAAAGTGAGAACTGCATAAATGTTGGGAAAAATCATAATTTTTTTTTATTAAGTTTGTAGCAACGATATCTTAAAAGCATTTAGTATTACTACCTAGTTTTATTTATTTATTTATTTAAAACAAATTTTAAACTTCCTTGTTAAAAGGAAAGATCAAATAACTACTCATCACTTCCCAGGTGAAAACAACATGTCCATTGCACCTTAGCTTCTTTGAAAACACACAGAGCACAGATGCTGTGTCCAGCCCCTTACCTCTGCAGCCATGAAGGCCAAGGTGTGCATCCCATGGGTATAGCCAGTGATGCAGCAGACGACAGCCAGCCCACAACAGGAAAGCAGCATAGCAATCAGCAGAGACAGGACTCGGCCATGGCTACTCATTGGTGTTGTGGGAGAAAAGGAAAGCTGAAACAAACAAAATAGGAAAGCAGTTCACTCTTCTTGGTAGTATTAAACTTCAATGAGAACTCCAGGTCAATTGCAGCATCTATGCTGTGAGTACAGAAAACCATCCCATTACTGTATGACCAAACATCTTCAGTGACCTAGATATGTGTTGGCCTTCATATTTAAAGATCTAAATATAACAATATACACCATATGTTTCACATCATATTCATATGGACCCTACTCCACTGCGATTATAAGCCTAGAAGCAAACTTTCAATGTATACAACTCTAACAATCAACAGGACTCAGGAAAGTGCTGTGTTTTGTGTCTAACAGGATTAGACCAACTGAAACGTCACCAGGTACACACTGACTGCCATTACATCTTACGCTGACATCATGTTAGAAGAAGCAACAGCCTGTAAAGAAGGCCTGGAGCCATCAGTCCTGAGGTAGTTTGTAAAGATGAAAAACCAGTTTGGGAGGTCAGAAGTTCGGTTGTGCTCAGTGATGGGAGTTCAACTGCAAAGGGAATGAAGCTTTTGAGGATAAGATGAATTCCCATGAAGGTGAATGACTGTCAGGTCCATGAAGACTGGGTGAAGTGGGGAACTACAGCCTGGAGTGGGTTTAATGGAGGGGCAGAGCCATGGGGGTTCATTTACCTGTGCCCCAGAAGACTGGTGCAGAAGCACTGATGAGGCAAGTACTGCTCTGGTGTAAAGCCAAGAGGAAGATGTAAGTGAACCGAACCATGTGGCTCTGATGGAACACAAATGATTGGGACCAAGCATCCTTGGAAAACATTGATTCTACATCCCCCCACTGCCGTAGAAACCTTCACAGGCAACAGGGAACAGTTGCCTGATCCAGGAGTCTTTCCCTTGGGCCATGGTGCTATGACTTCTGCACATCACACACTACAAACCTGCCACAGCATGACTAAAGCAAACAGCCTGACTAGAAACTCACATATTCAAATCGGTCCTTGCAGAGCTGAACCATCAGATGCAGAAATACAAGTCCAGCAAACCAGAGGCACCACATGACCACTTCTTCCACTGTCTGGACATTCAGCACACCAAAGATGAAAATGAACTTGTAGAAAATAAAATTCCAAAACTTGTCCTTGAGGTGCTAAAAAGAAAAATGTTCATAAAGGTGAATACCATCAACTAAACTCATTAAAGAAAGTTAATGTTACAACAATTAGCTTCTATGGAAGAAATATTCTCTTTTGCTTTCCAACACTGATGCAGAGGAAAACAGGAAAGGAAGAAACCCTCTGAAGACAAAGGTGAGACATTCAAACAGAAATCTGATTCCTAGTTCTAGATCAACTATGGGATTTTACCCATTAAAAGGGCACTGATGTTAGTGTGTGATACATTATATATTAGCAAATAAAAATACCTCATACTTAATGCAGTAAGAATGGCAAAATCTATCATTTTTAATATTTCTGTTCTTTGGATTCTTAAACAGTAGAAAAGATTATACTCTAATTTTGCAAAGTATTCTTGAGATTTAAAAAAGACCATTTGCAAGCCCATAAAAATGATGCCTTAACATTTGTATGCATTTTTGCTTGCCTTCTTTGTAATCCATACATTTTTGTACATTTTCTGTTAGAAACTTGCCTCTGTCAATGAATATTGTCTGAGTACACCAACACACCACTGTAATGGTTACCGGGACATGGAAACCTATTCACTGGTCACTATTCAGAAAGAACTGTAATGAATATCTTTGCATGCATTTCTATTACTTCAGCATTATCAAATCAAAGCTCATAAATGCTTTTATGGCTTCCAGTAGGCAATAAGTACTTGGTCATTTAAGCATTGCTCACTGTACTCTTTCCCTAAACTGAGGAATTTCTGTTTTAAAATCTTCACTACCCTGGGAATGGGGCAACAAGCAGTTTTACCTTCCCCAGATACTAAAATACTGTATTATTAAGATATATGTGGCGATGGGACAAAACCAGGTAAAGTGTAAGAATGGAAGCATGACTTCTTTTTTAAATATTTATTTGAGAGATTTACAGAAAGATGAAGAGGCAGAGAGAGAGAGAGATCTTCCAGATATCTGTTGGACTGCTCCCCAGGAAGCAACAGTGGGTATTACCGGGCCAGCCTGAAGCCAGGAGCTTCATATGGGTCTCCTATGTGGGTGCCTGGGGCCCAAACAATTGGACTATTTTGTGTTGCTTTTCCTGAGACATTAGCAGGAAGCTGGATCAGAATTGGGACAGCTGGGACATGAACTGTTGCCCATATGGGAAGCTGGCATCTCAAAGGGTAGCATTACCCATTACACCACAGTGCCAGTACCTCGAAGCATTTCTAAGTACAGTTTTATATACATTTTGAATCTGGTTAATATTTTAAAATTTCAAAAAGTAAAATTAAAACAAACAGCAAACCCTAAAAATATGAAATAAAATTGGAGGAAGCATTTAGCCTAGCAGTTGAGATAGTAGTTGGGACATCCGCACTCCACACTGGTGTCCCTGAGTGCAAGTACCCAGCTCCCACTCCAAATGCCAGTTACTTGCTAGTCTGCAGTGCTGGAGGTAGCAGGTGACACCCAGATAATTCATGCACGAGACCTGAGTTCCTGGCCCCTGGCTCCAGTCTGACCCAGCCCTGGCTGTTGCTGGGATCTCTCTCTCTCTCTATTTCTATCTCTCTCAAACAAACAAAATAAACACATAAATTAAAATTTTAAATGATGTCTTAAATTAAAAAAAAAAAAAACTGGGGCAAGGTTCTGGCATAGCAATGGATATCACACCCCAAGTAAGAATGCCTACTTAGAGTTCCAGCTCGGCTTCTGATTCCAGCTTCCTATCAATGTTCACCTTGGGCGGTAGCAGGTGATGTCTGAAGCAGTTGGGTCCCTGCCACCCACAGGGAAAACCCAAGACTGAATCCCAGGCTCCTGACCCCAGCCTGGCCCAGTCCCAGTTACTGTGGGCATCTGAAGAATGAACCAGTCCATGGCAGATCTCCAAACAAGTGAATAAATACATTTTTTTTAAACCACTGAGTTAACAAGTAATTTAGACTAAACATACAGTAGATTTATAACACAGCAAGTTAAACTTTTATTTTGAGGTTATACGTACTTGATTGTATATTTTTTATGTAGAAAACAAAATAAACTGGAAAGGAAAATCAGAGTTATTTCCTAACTCTGAATACTGACATGTCAGTAGTAACGATTGCACAGAGCTAATGCAGATCTTGGCTTCTGAACACTCCTCAGTGAAATCAGCTAGGAATCCTGGTGAATGTCTGTTCTTAGACCTGGGCAGGGACGGCACAAGGTGAACCCAGAACATTTTGTTCCACAGCTTTGAATCTTCTATCACCTAACTGCCGTATGATTTTGAAAAGTCAGGTAACGTTCCAGTGTTTGGGTATTCCCATCTTTAAGAAGGGTTATAACACAAGCATGCATCCCACAGAAGTTAGGGGCGGTTAAATAAGCTAATACAAGTAAAGCGCTTAGACAAGTGCCAGAGTAGATATCAAGTGCTTAAAGAATTAAAAAAAAATTCTAAAACTCCACTTAAGGTTTTAATATTTGCTCTATTATTTGCTGCATTTCAGATATTCATTGTCTTTGCCTCTAGCATTACTCTATTTCCTGACCTTATAGAGCAAACATGCCAGTGCTAAACAAATGGTTCTTTAAAGATTTTATTTTTATTAGAAAGCCAGATATGGGCCCAGCAACATGGCCTAGCAGCTAAAGTCCTTGCCTTGAACATGCCAGGATTCCAAATGGGCGCCGGTTCTAATCCCAGCAGCTCCACTTCCCATCCAGCTCCCTGCCCGTGGCCTGGGAAAGCAGTCGAGGACGGCCCAAAGCCTTGGGACCCTGCACCCGCATGGGAGACCTGGAAGAAGTTCCTGGCTCCTGGCTTTGGATCAGCACAGCACCAGCCGTTGCAGTCACTTGGGGAGTGAATCATCGGATGGAAGATCTTCCTCTCTGTCTCTCCTCCTCTCTGTATATGTGACTTTGCAATAAAAATAAATAAATCTTTTTTTAAAAAAAAGCCAAATATACAGAGAGGAGGAGGAGACAGAGAGGAAGATCTTCCATCCAATGAATCATTCCATAAGTAGTCACAATGGTTGGAGCTACATCAATCTGAAACCAGGAGCCAGGAGCCTCTTCTAGGAATCCCATGTGGGTGCAGAGTCCCAAGGCTTTGGGTCATCCTCAACTGCTTTTCCAGGCTACAAGTAGGGAGCTGGATGGGAAGCAGGGCCACTGGATTAGAACCTATGCCCATATGGGGTCCCGGTATATGCAAGGTGAGGACTTTAGCTTCTGGGCTACCATGCTGGGCCCCCAAAATGGTTCTTAACAAATGCTTCTTGTAACATGAATCATAATGCAAGCCAGTAGACAATATAAAAAAAATATGATCTATACCCAGAAAAACCAAAGTAGGGTTGAATAAAAAATAAGCCCATTATGCTCACCCTTAAATAAAGTAAAAACCTCTGAAATACCCCCAAGATTATGCTTTCTGTTCATTTCAAGTGATATCTAAAATTTTTGGGAAAACAAGAAGTACACTGATTGAGTGCTGGATGCACCCATGAATAATTAAATACCTTTGGGCTGATCAATTCCTGGCCCACAAATCAAAATTTTGAAAAGAAAATTTTAGAATTTTAAGAAGTAATAAAAAGAGTTTTGGGGCAGACATGTGGTCCAGCAGTTACCACACCATCAGGGCCTCCAGCTTCAGAGCACAGCACCTCGGCTCCAGTTTTGACTCTGGCTCCCAATTTCAGCTTCCCCCTACTGTATACATGGCAAAGTAGAAGACGGGAGCTCAAGCGACTGGGTCTCCATCACCAGGCAGGAGACCTGCACTGGACATCCCAGCTCCTGGCTTCAACCTGACCCAGCCAAGGGCTGCTGCAAGCAGCTGAGGAGTAAACCAGCAGACAGAAGCTCTTTTTCTCTGTCTCTGCCTTTCACTTGAGAGAGAGAAAAAAAAGAGCTTTCATATCTGCAGAAGAACGCCCTGTTCTACTGAACCCATCTGGTAGACCTCTGACGTTAATACTTTGGAAAAGTGCTGAATATTTACTTATCAAAAATCTCTGGGAAAACAAAATATTTCTGCTTATGACAAGGACTCGACCACAGAGTGACCACATTCCAGCTCAAAATGAGACAAGGGCTTGAGCTGATTTTATAAATGAGTATTTGAGTTGAAAAGGGTAAATAAGAAAAGCCTAGAACACTTTTTTGAAAACACAGAGAAGTTCCTGTTGTACTTTTAACGTGATAGAATTTAGTGTCTTACTATTGGGTTGAGATAAGAGTAAAATACAGATTTGTTCTTACGTTTCATTAACACACAATGTTTTGTGGTTTTGAAGGCCAGTTCTAAATTCTTATTTTAAAACACACCACTCTACACTCTATCCACCAAAATCCCTGGGGAACTTCCAATCCATACAATGTACTTATGGCATAATTCTTTATTGAAGAATCCTCTACCCTATGGACATTCTGAGAGTCCTGCTCAAATGCCAGACAATCTCCCCTGAAACAAAGGAAAGAAACCTAATTTTTAACTTAAACAATATTATCAATATACTCTTCCACAGGGAAAAACTACCTCAATAAATAAATAAATTCCCTTAGGAAGGATTCCATATTTGGTTGTGAAATTCACAATCCTTCAAACTACAACAAATCCCTGACTCTTCCACAAGAGGCCCAGTAGTTAAACATCCAGGCTCAGTAGTTAAAGTCCTGACCTGGAACACACATCCTCTCCATCAGAGTGCCAGGGTCTAAGTCCCTTGTGGACCAGCAGGCCCTACAACCACCAAGGGGATGAGGCAACAATGCTCCTCAGCAAGGACCACCAGAGAAGGTCTGGTTGCGCATGCTCATTTATTGCAAAGCAAACACGATCTGATATAGCCCAAGAAAAGGGGAAGGCAGAAGGGCATCTCCCAACAACCCTCCCACCTGGCAACAGCACTGTAACTGGCTCAAAGGCAGCTCTATCTCTTTGGATCCTCCAATCATGCTGTAGGTCATGTCCATCACGTGTGGCTGGCAGGTATGCTGCAGGCCATGTACACTACATATAGCTGGCAGGTAATGTGGGGCAGCACCAACTTCTCAGAGTTGCTTATCAAGAAAGTCCTAGCACAGCTCATCCAAGCAAGGAGAAGGGAGCCTAGGGTGTAGCCCACTGCTTTTGCCTATATGGCCAGTGATTGTGTCAAGTTGAGGTCTTGGTGTGCCAAGATCATTGCCAGAGGACTCTCCCAGGGACACGGTGTGCTATGCTCTTATGACCTGTCACACAGGCCAAGCAGGCAAAGATCCAGGGGTGATCTCTCACAATTCCCAACTCTGCTTTCAACTCCAGTTTCCTGCAAAGCAGCTCTGCAAGGCAGCAGTGAAGGCTCAAGGAGCTAAGTCCCTGCCACCCACATGAGGGCCTGGACTTAAGTTCCAAGACTTGGCTTAGTCCAGCTCCAGCTGCTGTGGCCATTTTGACACTGAATAGGGGATATTAGTGTTTGTGCGTGTTTCTCAAATAAATAAATTAAAAAAAAATTTTTTTAATTCATGGGGAAAGCTGGCATTGCACTATAACAAGTTAAGCTGCCAACTGCAATTTCAGCATACCACACTGCAGGACCTTAACTCACTTACAAGGCAGCAGGTAATAATGGTCCAAGATCCTGGGCCTCTGCTAACTGTGTGGGAGAACGGATGAAGCTCCCAGCCCCTGGCTCAGTCAAGCCCAGACATGGCTTCCCAGGCAATTTGGAAGTGAAACAGAGGGTGGAAGCTCTCTTTCCTGTTACTCTGCCTTTCAAATAAATTAAGTAATTTGTTTTAAAAGTCATGGGGGAGAAACAGCCATAAAGAACAATATTGAAGGCAGCTTAGCTACAGTAAATATGGACTGTAGATCAAAGTATTTCATCAACACTAAAAATCTGATTTTGTTCCCTGCTCTGTAGTTACATAGGAAAATGTTCTTGCTCTTAAGAAATACAATAATATGGAAGTATTTCGGGGGAAGGCTTATGATACCTATAACTTATGATATATACAGCTTACGTATGTATACACACATACATACAGAAAATATTAGATCAAATGGGTCAAAACATAAACAATCGGTGAGTCTGGATTCATGCAGATTTTCTCTAAGTTTGAAATTAAAACAGAAATTTTTCTTAATAATCTGATCACAAGAACCTCTGAACTTACCTGTCTCTCACTCACTCGAAGAGGGCCAAACACAATACACTGGATAAGCTTAGCCACCAACATCAAAACACAGCAAGCGGTATTCACCAGCACCTGCACAGACAGCAAAGAAAGGAAGTTTATTTTCTCACACAGAAATTAAAAACAGCTCTAAAACTTTCTTAATAGGAATTCAGCCATCATTTCTAATGAATAAGACTTTCAGCCAGTGAAAGATAAGCAACATTAGAGGGGCACACTTATGTTGGTAGTGGCAAGCTGGCATGAGGGATGGGGAGGAGAGGCACCAGTTTACCAGTCAATTCACAGTTCTTTGCCCCATGCATGTCCTCTAGAAGACCCCAACTGGTTAATCTTAACTGAACTGTACATAAACTGTGCACTGATGTGTAAAATTGTATATGCCTTGGAAACTTGGGTTCTTTCCAAGTACATCACTGCCTACATTAAGTGTCTGGACATCCTGGGGCCAGTACTTGGGGCAGCAAGTTAGACTGCTGCCTATGATGTTGGCATCCCATTTGGACACTGGTGTGAGTCCCAGCTGCTCCCCTTCTGATTTGGCTCCTGCTAACATGCCTGAGAAAGCAGCAGAAGATGGTCTGAATACCTGGGCCTCTGCCACCTATGTGGCAGACCAGGATGGAGTTCCAGGCTCCTGGCTTCAGCCTAGCCCAGCCCTGACCATTGTGGTCAGTTGGGGACCAATCCAGAGAATGCAAGACATTTCTCTGTAACTCTGCCTTACAAACAAATATTCAAAAAAAAAAAAAAAAAAAAGATTCCAACAGTCTTATTCCAACAATCCTGAAGAAATTTGTTTTAGGAACTGAAGTTATCACGAGTAGCACAAGCCGGCAACCAAACATCCTACCCTGCCAGCACATAGGGAGCAGAGGTACAGGTGGAGGGGTGCAGGTCCTCAACACCTCACAAGATCTTGAAGAACTGATCATTCACATTTTCTCTCTCCCTCCCTCTCTCTCCCTCTCTCTCTCTATATATATACAAACACACACATACATGCTTAGATATATATGCTTATAATATGTATTTTAAGGTTTAAATTATCGAACATTAAGTGCATATCTATATATATATATATATTGCCAAGGGGCAATCTACCAATCAAACAATAAATGGTCTCCATGCTTGGTGTCAACTTTGAAGCACAGGTTCTGAGGCATGAGATGGGAGATCAGGGAAAACAAGAAAAACAACAAAGTCCCAGGAAGAGCTGAGAAACAAAAAAGTAACCCTGGAACACCAAGGCAAAACCAAGACTTTAACAGCTGGTGAGAAAACTTGTCTTTTCAACTACTTAACAGATCAATCTTCTCACAGCTAAAAACAAATGTTAACACAAAATGGAAGAGAAGGTTGTTTCTGACCAAGAGGTTTGCATGGATTACCACATTACTGATGCGGAAATGAGTTTAAAAACTCTGAGTGCCTTGGGCCCGGCACCGTGGCCTAGCAGCTAAAGTCCTTGCCTTGAACATGCCAGGATCTCATATGGGCGCCGGTTCTAATCCCAGCAGCTCCACTTCCCATCCAGCTCCCTGCTTGTGGCCTGTGAAAGCAGTCAAAGATGGTCTAAAGCCTTGGGATCCTTCACCCACATGGGAGACCTGGAAGAAGTTCCTGGCTCCTGGTTCCTGGCTCCTGGGTCCGGATCGGCACAGCACTGGCCTTTGCGTTCACTTGGGGAGTGAATCACCAGACAAAAGATCTTCCTCTCTGTCTCCTCCTCCTCTCTGTATATCTGGCTTTGTAATAAAAATGGATAAATTAAAAAAAAAAAAAAACTCTGAGTGCCTCAAAAAAGCCAAAAGGACCTTGACATACAACAGTCAAGAGGACTTTCATTAAGAGCAAATGAAATCCAACTCAATGTCAAGGTTACATCAAGCTCTGATTCACACAGGAAGGACACCAACTCGTCACAAGCTATTCCTTCCTTACTTTTAAAAGCAAACAGTTTTTTAAAAAGAAGGGTAACCAACAATAATTCAAGAAAGTAAGCCCACTAAGATTTCTTTACGTCCCCCTTACATCATCCACCCTTTCGGTAGAACATGTGAGGCCAGTCCTAAGTCAACACAGATGACACTGTTTAGTTCTATTCCGCTTGCCTAATGGGGTAAGGAAGCACATATCAAGTTTTTTAAGATTGAAACCAAGAAAGTTCTACTGGAAAAAGAAATCATTTTGGTCTTTCAAGCTTTCAAACAACTGAAGAAAAAAAACCTACCCTAATTAGCTAAAACATCCTATACCCCTAATGTGTGGCTCCCTAGGTAACAGCTTTATTCAACATATTCCACATATCTGAGACTTTTAATCTTTAAGATCATGAGATAAGTATCAAAAACACTCACCTTCTTTGCACTCTACATCTGCCAATCACGTCAGTCGTGCTAATTAAATGTCATAAGACAAAACCACAACTCCTCCATGCCACATCCCCCAGCCAAACAGGACGTTTTAAATCAACCAAATATCCCTCGGCTTACTGAAGACATAAATTCTAAAGAGAACTCTTCCTGCCTTTGCATGTAGGCAAATCAATTTTAAAAATATACGCAACACATTTAGCATTTGCCCAAGGCGTATGGGAGGTTAGAAAAACAAGGGGGATTTGGACCTTGAACTCAAAGACCTTCCAGAACCTTTAAGATACAAAGCTTGTAAGTGAGCCAACAGAAACCCAGGCAGGCTGCTAAGTGGGTGACTACAAGGACATAAAATTCAGAATCACTCAAACATATCCAAACATCATTCTCACAAACCATGGGTCAGAAAACAATAACCATATGTTATTTACAAGTTCTTCGTTAAAGTTCTTTACAGAAGATTTGAAGTTCTAAAATAAGACACTAAAGCTCATACCTTTAATTTCCCTCCCAAAAAGTGAAAGCCTCTCCTAATCTCACCACCCACAAACATTTTCTATCTTAACATACAGAGAAGACTCAGCACTTAGCATGGCCAAGGACAAACAGGCTGGATACCACAAACACTGACAACAGAAAGGACATTATCATATTAAGAAAAAAAAAAAGACAGAAAGAAAGAAAGAAAAGTGAAAATCTTCTGAACTTTATATAAAAGCAAAGCTACAATGGGCTGGAAATAATTAAAACATGCATCACTGTCAACAAAGCACATTTTTAAAAACTATATTTAAAATGTATTTTAAGAAAATATACAATATTGTGCCTTCCCAATAACCATGCAATAAACCTCCTTATCTCAGTTGACAAAAGCTTAAAACATTTCAAATACTTAATAAACACACAATCTAAACCTTCCTCATTCAAATGCAAATCCAGGGGAAGGCATTTGGCATAGTAATTAAGGCACAAACTGGACATCTACATCCTGTATCACAATGACTGGGTTCAAGTCCAACAGCCTGCTAACGTGCACCTGGGAATCAGCAAAGGATGGCTCAAGTGTTCCAGGTCCCTGTCATACACTTGGGAGATAACTACTGGGTTCCCAGCTCCTGGCTCCAACGGGGCCCACACTTGGATGCTACAGGGCATCTGTGCATGAAGATTAGAAGTCTCTTTTGAACAAGCTACAACTTTTAAAGATAATAGAAATAAACCCCAAAGCAGATTCCTCTTAGTACCAGCAATATTCTTCCAACACTTTGGCCCAGACATTTACATCCGCAGAGCTGTGGGACAAACCTCACCTTCAACCATCCTATCAAAGCACTCTCCTGACAAGCCTACACTGAGCCATCACTTTATCCACTGAGAAAACAGTGAATGTGCTACCTTCATTTTGCCTGCTCTATACAAGGGTTCACTGGAGCACTGTGTCTAGTAGCAGGAAAGCAGAAAACAAATGTCCATCAGGGACACTTTTTTGAATAAACTATAACAAATCTATTCAGGGGAATACAAATGACATCTGTAGAACCAACTCAGCAGTTTCACAGAACACTTAAATAACTGAAAAATCAAGACCAATTCAAGGTACCTTTAAAGGGCAAGTTCTTAGCTTAGGCGTTCAATGCCTGTGTATTAGTCTGTGGGTTAGTAGGATTAATAGGATTCATACTAATGCACACCCTGGGAGGCAGTAATGGACTCAAGTAACTGGGTTCCTGCCACTGGTGTGGGAGACTCAGATTGAATTCCCTGCTCCTGGCTTCAGCCCCACCTCGAGGCCACTGCAGCCATATGGGGAGCGAACTAATGATGGCAGCAGGCGTGCTCTCAAATAGCAAGGTGCAGAACTGGGATTATTAGCCTCTGCTGTGTAAAATAGGAAGAGTGCAGAGAAGTAAACATCTGTATAGCATGTAAGATGCAAACCGTGCCAGTGATCACTCTGTGTATGCCCTCTACTTAACACCAGCACTAATTACTAGAAACTGGTAAAGTTCATTTCTGGTGGAGGTGGGTGAGAACCAGGGAGGAGGGGCAATGGGCTTTTCAATAGCCATCATTTTGGACTTGGACTTTTATACCCTGAAAATGCATCACCTTCCCTTTCTTTCTCTTAAAGATTCATTTTTATTTAAAATGCAGATTTACAGAGAGATCCTCCAACTGCTGGTTCATACCCCCAACTTGCCACAACAGCCAGAGCTGAACCAGTCTGAAGCCAGGAGCCTGGAGCTTCTTCTGGGGTCTCCCACGTAGGTGGCAGGGGACCAAACACTCAGTCATCTTCCACTGCTTTCCCAGGCAGTCGACAGGAAGTGGAGCAACTGGGACTCAAACTGGCACCCATCTGGGAAGGGGCCTAACCTAGTACACTGCTGTGCTGGCTCCTATGCATTATCTTTTAGATTAATTTTTTCCTTGAAATTTAGAATCTACTAATATGACCAGTTCTGAAATCCCACATTATTTTTCTCACCATCTGATGAAAGACAGATGAGTCAACAAGCCAAAGCTGGACAACCTTAGTCACAGGCAATGTTAGCACGGGGTCAGTACCTGGAGGGCCTCTTCCTCCACTTCTTTGTCACCTCTGGTCTTCCCTTCACCGTTTCGCACTCTCTCCCTCTTAAATCAGAAGAGTCCAAGGATTTGTAAAATCACTACCCAGTCTCGGGTCAGCTCTCTAGATGCCTGCCACTGTCTCCCTCCCACCTGACTGCACTTCACTCACCTGGGATACTGTTCACTGCCCGAGGCTCTTTCCATCTTCCCATGCTGGACCCAATCCAAAATGTCACCTTCCTTTGGGGGCTCCGGGAGACCGAATTTCTTTCCTCCTCCAAACGGTTTTGTTTATATATTTATCATCACTTGTCAAGCTGCACGTTCACCATAGCATTTTGAGAGTAGGGGCAACCTGTCTTTTGTAGCTATGCCCTCCGGAGTGCCCAAAAGAGCACTTCTGAAAGGTTCTGGAATTGAATTTATTCCCATATTATTCTACCTTGTGCGTCACACAAATGAGTTTTAGAGGTGGCACTATTGTAAACAAGAGCTAGTAGGATTTGCAAACCGGCAGAGGAATCACTTTTTGTTTTGTCTCCCTGGGCCTTGGCTGTATCATGAGCAGGGCTCCAGAGCAACCTTGTTGACAAAGGTCCCCAACAAGCTCCCTCTATGGCGTTATCTGCCAGGCCACACTGGGGAGTGTGCCTACCACCGCACTGTTCCGGCACAGGCAGCGAGTGGCACAGCACTCCTAGGGCACACAGGGAGGGCCTAAGAAGGCAAGGAAGCACAGACAATTGGAAGCCCCGTGGAGAGACAATAACCTTGGCATTGGCAATAAGAGACTTTTGGGTTGCGGGGTGTGGAGGGAGGGTTCATTCAATAATATTTGTGTTTTTTACATAAATACAACGGTGGTTCCCTCCCAAAAGCCTGTTTATATCTTAGACTTAGGAAAAAAAAATTACACCAAAAGACTACATTATCATCTTCACATCTGGCTAAAGCACCTTTCACACCACTCAGTGTGTGAAACATGCAAAAACAGATGCGAGTTCTCTTCAGAACTTCACCTTTCCCTGCCTTCTATTAAGCTCTACATCAGGGCATAATCTACAGCCCCCAGAGTTCATAAATCCCATCGCTTCCTGATGAAGCACGGTGGGAATAATTATAACAAATGAGTTCCATATCACCCTACAAATCTGGAATATTAATGACTTAAGTCATTTCCAGCCTTCTCTTCAACCTAAATGAGAAATCCGAAGAAGCAAACAAGACCCAAGACACCACAGTCAACCCAAGGAACAGGCTACATCCTGGAGCAACTTTTCTTGTTACTGCGAGAGTCTACAAGAAGGCACAAAACACAGAGGCTGAGGTAAAAGCAAAAACAAAAACAACCGCGGGTCAAAACAATCCTTTCTTGAATGAAACCAGCATTTACACCTTGGAAATGCTGCTTAATCTTGAAGGGGAGCAGGCAAGTGGAAGTCTTGTTTTAAAATGGATCCCTCACCCCGCCCCCCACCAAAAAAAAAAAAAAACTGAGAAATTCAGAGTGAAAATGACCCGTTTCTGCCCCTTCCCTACGTAATGTTTTTGCTGCGTTCAGACATCAAAGGGAAAGGTCATGAATCATCAGGTAAAAGCAGCAGGAAAGCGAGCACGGGCTGTCTGGGTTTTGTTGCATTAAACAGTGCCCAAAGAGGACAAACACTGAACGGTTAAAAAAGAAAGAAGAAAAAGTTATGCAGACTGCTTCTCTCCCTACAGAAATGGCCACACACAACCCATTCAAATGCCCCCGCACTCGGCACGCTCTTTTCCATCCTTGCTGGCTACTACTAGCACCACACTTGGAGAAAAGCACTTCAACTTCCCCGCACGTCCCAGCACGCGGGGAAGCGCGTGTCGGCCTCCCGCCTTCCCTAGAACCTGCCCTTCCAGGGCCTCCCGGGCCCCACAGAAATCCCGATCTCACTCCTCACGCTTTCCTTCCACGGCCCCTGCCCCCCTGCCCTGCTCCCTCCCCAGGTCCCTGGGAACGCCACCATCTCGACGCCACACCTCCGTTTCCTGGGCCCCCTTCCTCGGACCACCGCCCCAAACTCGGCCTTGGGGGGTGTGTGTGTGTGTGTGTGTGTGTGTGTGTGTGTGTGTGTGTGTGTGTGTGTGTGTGTGTCTGTGTGTGTGTGTGTGTGTGTGTGTGTGTGTGTGTGTGTGTGTGTGTGTGTAGGGGGGGGGAGACGATCTCCTTCCCATCCACGGAGCCCCAAACCTCATCCCTCTCCTTCCACGGCCCGGCCCCGCCCCCATCCCTACACCCAGGCCCACGCTGGCCGGTCCCGGAAAAGAGAGGACCCCTGGGTGCCGTCACGCCCCCACCCCCACGAATAATGGGTGATATGGTGGCCCCCGTCCCTGCACGCCCCACTCCGGGTAGCTCCTGCCCCGCGGGCCCGGGCCGCCTCGCTCACCCACACGAAGAGACTGTCGGAGAGTAGGTACTGGGCCACGTCGCGGGCCCCGGGTCCCTCGGCGAGCGGCCCCTCAGGCGCGGGCGCCCCCGGCTGCAGCGAGGCCGTTAGCGGCTCCTGCTCGCTGGGCCCGGCCTCGGGCTGGCTGAGGGCGCGGTAGGCGCTGACGATGGTGCCGAGCAGGGCCAGGCCGCTGAGGCCCGTGTAGGTGCGGAGGCTGGGCCAGGGGAAGCGCTCGAGGAAGAGCAGCGGCATGGCGGCAGCGGCGGCCTCCAGACCTCAAGCCTCCCCGCGCTGCGGCCTGGAGCCTGCGGCGGCCTCGCAAACGGCGCCCACGGGTTCTGGCGTTGCTACCGCCGCCGCCGCCGCTGCTGTAGCCGCCGCGCCGGGCCGGGCCGGACCGCTCCTGGCTGCTCGCGCCGCTCCGCCCCGCGTCGCTCCCGCTGCTGCCCCTGCCGGCGCGGAAGAGCCTCGGCGGGCTCGGGGCGGGCCGCCAGCGGGACGGGCGTGGTGGCGCGGCCTTGGTCCCCCGCCTCCAGTGGTCGCGGCCGCCGCCTCCTGGGGGTAGGCCCGGCTTCTGGCCCCGGAGATTTGGTACCCAACTCAGCCCGGCCTGAGAAGACGCAGAGGGCACCCGTTCCAGCCCCAGCCGTGGCATGGCTCAGGCCGCCAGCAGTGACACGAGGTCGTGACCAGGCCTTAGTGCGCTCGGGACCCGCCACTTGCCCTGAACACCACTATGGGCCCATCAGCCTTCCTGGTGTCCCAAAGGGGACAAGGTGTTCAGGGAATAAAAGGCTTCCCCCCTCCCCTCCCAGAAGTACTGTTAAACACGCTTAAGTATCTGCTATTTACTAGTAGCTCCAAGAGGATGCTAAAAACTGAACTTGATTTAGCAGAAAATGTGCAAGATGAGGCCACTTTGAGAAAACCTCTTGTCACTCCCTCAAAGTGGCCATCTGACCAAGAGACTGCACGCCTATATAGCTAGAACCCAAGAGAAACCAAAACGTGTGTCCACCAAAGCTTGTATACAAATGTTAATAAGCAGCCTCATTCACAGTAATTCAAATGTGGGAAGCCTAAACATTCCTCCAAGGATGAGTAGATACACGTGACAAATCCACACAGGAGGATATTATTCAGCATTGAAAATGAAGGCTTAATACAGGCTACAATACGCATGTTGAAAGCATGCTAAATCAAAGCAGCAACACAGAAGTTCACATTGTGATTTTATTCATAGAAAATGTCCAAAATAAGAAAATCAATTAATAGACACAAAAGTATACTATCAGTTGCTTCCAGATAGGAGATGATAGCCAAATGGTAATCATTTCCTTTTTTTAAAAAGATTTTATTTTTCATTACAAAGTCAGATATACAGAGAGGAGGAGACAGAGAAGATCTTCTGTCCAAGTGATTGCAACGGCCGGTGCTGCGCCAATCCGAAGCCTGGATCCAGGAACTTCTTCCAGGTCTCCCATGTGGATGCAGAGTCCCAAGGCTTTGGGCCATCCTCGACTGCTTTCCCAGGCCACAAGTAGGGAGCGGGGTGGGAAGTGGTGCTGCTGGGATTAGAACCGGTGCCCACATGGGCTCCCGGAGCATTCAAGGTGAGGACTTTCCATGGTGCCATTTCCTTTTAAAATGACTGTTTTATAATTGTAATGGTAGGAGCCCAGCATGGTGGCCTAGTGGCTAAAGTCCTCACCTTGCACATGTCAGCATCCCATATGGGCACCCCGCTTCCCATGCAGCTCCCTGCCTGTGGCCTGGGAAAGTGGTCGGTCAGGACGGCCCAAAGCTTTGGAACCCTGCACCCACACGGGAGACCTGGAGGAAGTTCCTGGTTTCGGATTGGCACAGCAACGGTCATTGCAGTCACTTGGGGAGTGAATCAGTGGACAGAAGATTTTCCTCTCTGTCTTTCCTCCTCTGTATATCTGACTTTGCAGTAAAAATAAATATTTTTAAAAAATAATTGTAATGATAGGCCAACTCTGAAAATAGACTAAAAATCATTATATACTTTGAAAAGGTGATATATGACTTGTATTTCAATATGGCTGTTTACCACCACCCGCCCACCAAACAAATCTTTAAGAAGTTAGTGCTGAGGGCCAGCACTGTGGCACAGAAAAGCTGCCGACTGTGACTCAGCATCCCGAATGAATAGCAATGAGTCCCATTGCTTCAACTTCTGATCCAGCCCCCTAATGTGCCTGAGAAAGCAGCAGATGGTCCAAGTGCTTGGGTCCCTAGACCCACTTGGAAGACCTAGAGGCAGCGCCTTGCTTCAGCCTGGCCCTGTCCTGACCATTGTGGCCATTTGGGGAGTGACCCAGCAGATGAAAACCCTCCATTTCTCCCTTCTAACTCTGTCTACCAAGTGTGGGGGGGGGGGAACCCACTCATGTGAGAGCAGGGAGCCGGTGCTCCGTTAACTTTATCTTCCCAGTTCCCCAGGGGACTGAGTTATGTTTTATGGTTTTCTCATGCATCTATTGTCATATATGTATTTTTAAAACACTTTTAAATATTACTACCCACTTTGGAATTTCAACCTTGCCCTAGGGTCTCCAAGACACAAACTGCTCTGCAGGGGTGCAGGGAGTATACTTTTGTTGCTGATGCTTTTTAACCCACAATCTACTCTCAGCTCAGTTTTCTGCTAAATTGTATTGGTAGAATAAAGGGAAGTTTTATTTGGAAAAACGTAAGGCTGGTAATTTCCAGGGAAGGATTCTACTATCTTACCCCCACCGTTTTTACACACCATACTAGCAATTCATATTCAATTCAAGCCACAATAGTTAAATGATAGAGTCCTCAAAAAGCTCCTATGACGTTTAGATTAAGAAAAAACACTACTCACCAGTTTCAAACTTTCTAGCACCAACAAACATCTTAGTCCCATTTCCCACAAATGTTTTAAGTATCCTCTCATTACACAAATTTGCCCTTCACCGTAAAAAGCCTATTCAATATTTGCCCTTACCGATCAGTGTTTAGAAATTTGCACTTGTCAAAAATAAACAAATTAGGGCCCGGCGCGGTGGCGCAAGTGGTTAAGTCCTCGCCTTGCACGCCCGGGATCCCATATGGGCGCCGGTTCTAGTCCCGGCAGCCCGGCTTCCCTTCCAGCTCCCTGCTTGTGGCCTGGGAAAGCAGTCGAGGACGGCCCAAAAAGCTTTGGGAACCTGCACCCGCGTGGGAGACCCGGAAGAGGCTCCTGGCTTCGGATCGGCATAGTATCGGCCCGTTGCGCTCACTTGGGGAGTGAATCTTCGGATGGAAGATCTTCCTCTCTGTCTCTCCTCTCTGTATATCCGCCTTTCCAATGAAAAAATAATAAAAATAAATCTTTAAAAAAAAAAAAATAAAATAAACAAATTAACTATATAAGGTTATTTTTAAATCTGCAGTTTAAAACAATTTAAAGCTTTGTGTCTGGGCACTTTGCTAGAATAGATTTCTCCTATCATAACTTCCCCACTCCAAGATAACTTTGAGTGTCCTTCTTGAGGATTTTTTTGTGGCAGTTCAGCCTTCTGAAGTCTTAGCCAACACATCCCATTTTTCATAACTGTAACTGACTGTGGGAGTGCCGGGGAGAAAGAGCACAGAGAAGACACAAATACATAAACATTGAGTTTGTCCAAAATGCTGGACAGAGACCTAGAGACTGTCAGATGAGTCTCCAGCTGCGAGAGGGTAGTCCTGCTTGGACAAGAAAATGTCAGAGACCATGATGAAAGCTAGTCGGCCTCCCCACACTGCACATCATTCCCATGATGACTGAATTGCTTTGTGGCAAGGTGAATGACTTGGCTTGATTGACAAGAAATGTTTCATTTCCGACAAACCAGTTATAGCTACTAAATCCAGCAGGTGGGAATGCTAGGGTTGAGGGTAGGGGATGGATAACCAACTTTTCCAAGTTTATATAGGATGAAACTAAGTTACTGTATATTTGCAAGTTTTAGGTTTTTCCTTTATACATCTTGCAGTTTTTGATACCTCCTATACAGCACAGAGGCAGTAAAATTTTCAGAAACTCCTTCCAAAATCTTTATCAGACTTGACACTTTTATTCAGATACAGTGGTTGCAAAAACTTTGACTCTATCACATACACATTCCTGCATTTTGAACAAGCTCCAGTTAAGATGCTGATACCACATTGCATAGCATCACATAAGCAGGAAGCATGGCATGAGTCAGAGAAAACTGACTTTCAGTTAAGCTTGAGGGGAAGAAAACCAGAAAAATCAACACTGGAAAGTGAAGTCTCCAAAGGTATGAATGACATATATCAATGAGGGACAAGTTCTAAATTCCAGTCTTCAGGTTCCAACTCCAGGATCTCTACACATGGCACGAAACACAGCCAACACAGCACAGGGGAAGAGTGCAAGGGGAACGCAGTGTGTGCGGCCTGGACCATCAGTCCCAAGTTACTGTGACGAGCTCTCACCCCAGTGGAACTCCACCACAGACACTGAGAAAACAGTCAGTCAGGATTTCTCCTGGCAGACCAGCGCCCCAAACATACTCATTCTGGTTTAAATATTTTTATTGAAATGACAAATAGAACAGTAACCATTTTAAGCAAATTTTACTTTACAAATATAAAAATATAACCAAGACTTCGATTTATTTGATGCATTTCCTGTACTTTGAATATTGGAGGTTTCAAATCCAATCTACAAAGGATGCTCATACTCTGCTATGGACACGGTAACCCAAAATTTAAGTTTTTAAATACATTGACCTTTTCCTCAACAGAAAAACATACCTCTATTGTTACCAAACAGCCCATCATTAAAATACACGATGGCCTAAACTAGTTTAATCTAGACTTACCTATGTACTAGTTTTTCACAGCACAAGCTTAACAAACATGAGCTATTGCTAAGACATGTTTCATGGCTCAAGTCAAAATGTAGTACTATGTTTCTCATAAACACAGGCAGACTGCTTGAAAGGATAGATGATGTAGAACAAGGGGAATTAAATCTGGGAGATCAAAATCCTATGCCACAGAAACTGACTTGCACGGCAGTCAAATGCTTGGGGAAGGAATTCTACCTAGAGGCTGTTAGATTTGAGTGAATGTACCCAACCACATACCCGAAGCCGCAGGACTCCAGTCCTGGCCCCTGGTCCCGATTCCAATTCCAGATTCTTACTGAAGCAGACACAGGGAGTTGGTAATGGAAAAATAACCGGGCCCTGCCATTCACATGAGACAGGATTTGGCCCTGCAGTCTATCCCTTCCTGACCTACGTGGCATTTGAGGAATGACTCAGCAGATTGGTGTTCTATCTCTTGGCCTCTCTGCCTTTCAAGGAAAAAAAAAAAGTTCATGGAATTAAAAAATGAATTTCTACATATATAGTATAAATATACATATAACCACCACTAAGCTTTCTTTGGTAGTGCAACACAGAAAACTGCAAACTC